GTTTGGCCAGTGGGATTCCTTTGAGCTGGTTCCTATATCCGTGTATCATGTTCTCTCATTTTTGTGGGGAGTGCTTCCTCAATTTCCAGCAAAACAAGATGCTCCAGGCTTATCTCGAACCTACATGTCTGATATCGTTTGGGTATTTGTCCCCTCCAAATCTCATGTTGAAATTTCACCCCAGTGTTGCGGGTAGGACCTGGTGGGAGGTGTCTGGGTCATGAGACAGATCCCTCATGAACAGCTTGGTGCGGTCCTCATGGTAGTAACTGAGTTCTGACTCTTAGCACCTGTAAGAACTATTTGTAGAAAAGAGACTGGCATCTCCATCCCTTCTTTCTTGCTTCTGCTCTCCTGTTCTATGACCTTTGCACACGTGGGCTCCCCTTTGCCTTCTGTCATGAGTGGAAGATTCCTGAAGCCCTTGCCAGATGCAGATGCTGATGTCATACTTCTTGTATAGCCTGCAGAACTGTGAGCCAAATTTCTCTACAAATTATCCAGCCTCAGGCATTTCTTTATAGCAACACAAATGGACTAAGACAGTGTCCCAGCTCTGGAGCAGGCCCTTCTGCCAGGAGCCCTTTCATGGTGGAAAGGTGTTAGAGATCTGTACTTTTATCTCTTGGTTTTCTCCTTGTAAATAACCAAATTCACTGTTGTCTAGTTTATATTCTGTTTCTTTTTGTGTTGGTAAGCAGATATTTGCATATTTTCTATCTTCTCTTTTTTCTTATAAAACATGTAACATACTACATGTGCTCTTTTGAACATTACTTTTTTTGCTTCACAATATCTCCTGGAAATTGTTCCATATCAGCTGCATAATGCTCCATTATGCCGGGCGCGGTGGCTCACGCCCATAATCCCAGCACTTTGGGAGGCCGAGATGGGTGGATCACAAGGTCAAGAGATCGAGACCATCCTGGTCAACATGGTGAAACCTTGTCTCTGCTAAGAATACAAAAATTAGCTGGGCATGGTGGCGCGTGCCTGTAGTCCCAGCTACTCGGGAGGCTGAGGCAGGAGAATTGCCTGAACCCAGGATGCGGAGGTTGCGGTGAGCCGAGATTGCGCCATTGCACTCCAGCCTGGGTAACAAGAGTGAAACTCCGTCTCAAAAAAAAAAAAATAATAATACCCCATTACGTTTGTGTACTAGACCTTATTGAACCAATCTCCTACGAGGTACTTTAGTTACAAATACTCTTACACTGAATTTTTGTGCACATGAATTTTTGCATTCATGTATTTTCAGAATAAATTTCTAGAAGTGGGATTGCTGGGTTGAAGAAGAAATGTATATTTAGTGTTATTAGAATGCTGTCATTGGTTTATTTTGCTGTTTTCTGAATTTTTCGATTGAGAATTTATTTTCATTCTTTTGTTTTTACCAATACAGGTGTTAGAATTATGAATTTTTTTCCTGACTACTGATCTATGTGTGGCATAGATTTGTAGTATTTTCATTATCATTATTTTAAAGAAAGTCTATACTTTTTTTAATTATTTCTGTTTTCAACAAAGAGATGCTTAAGAGTTTTGAAATTTCCATGTCAAAAGTCTTTTTATTGATTTTTGTTTTATTTTTAATTTCTGATTTTAGTGCATGGGGTCTAAGGGTGTGGTATCTAACATTTCTACTTCATGAAACCTACTGAGGTCTTTCTTGAGTAGGGCTCAAGAAAGATCAATTGATATGAAGAATCTACACGTTTGTTTAGGCGCATCTTCCATTTTCAGGGAATAGTTTATATAGACAGATACATATTTATATATACATATTCATAATGTGAATATATTCAAAATATCTACTTTTTGATTATATTGTTTGCATCTTTTACATCCTTACTTTTTTGTGTGTGCACTTGAATGTACTCAGAGTGGTTTGTTATTTTCCTTTTATTAGCGCATTTGTATTTCTCCTTTAGTTTTCTGTAGTTTTTTTCGAATTACAGGTGTGTAATTTGGTGTGTAGATATTCACAATTGCTATATTTTCATTGTGGAATGTGGCACTTAATATTACAAAGTGTCGGCCAGGCGTGGTGGCTCACGCCTGTAATCCCAGCACTTTGGAAGGCCAAGGCGGGTGGATCATGAGGTCAAGAGATCGAGAACATCCTGGTCAACGTGGTGAAACCCCGTCTCTACTAAAAAATACAAACAATTAGCTGGGCATGGTGGTGCGCGCCTGTAGTTCCAGCTACTCGGGAGGCTGAGGTAGGAGGATTGCTTGAGCCCAGCAGGTTGAGGTTGCAACAAGCCGAGATACCACTGTACTCTAGGTTGGATGACTCTTATCTGCTGCAGACGTTTCAAGCACCAACAGATCTGTTGTTCATGCGGCCCACATAGACAAGTTGCTTACATAGCAGCATTACCTATTTCAGAATCTTCTTAGGTTCTGTCTTACTTAGCACTTGCAGTCTTTTGAGTTACATAGTGACTGGTTTAGAAAAATATGTCCAAATAAGGTGTATGTTGCCTCCAAAGAGGCCCATTAGGCATTATGCCTTTTAGTAAAAAGAAGTAATTTTTTCTCAACCTTGGAAATGACATCTCTAAACGCTCTGAACTACTAAATGCCTAGAAATTTCATTGAGGTGACAGCCCTCCGAATTTTCACATTTGAGGATATATGTCCTTCTCTGTGACCTCCATGTGCCTTATCAAGGTGACTACGGTACTTGTTATTTCCTGCTCGTCAGGGAAAATCAGCATGCTATCATCAATGATAGGACACCAGCAGCAATCAAAGTCCTTGTGGACTAGATTATCACATAAAACTAAAGAGTTTATATTGTTTTGAGGTGATACCCTGTGAAGATGTATTGCCAGCCTTGTCAGATGAAGTAAAATGGGCTTGATAGCCCTTAACTAACAGGTCTAAAGGAAGAAGCATCAGCTAGCTCAATAGGTGCATATCAGTTGCCAGAGGTTATGCTGATTTACTCCACCAATGAAATCACATCTGGAAGAGCAGTTGTAACTGGAATCACCACCCACTTAAATTTATGTTAATCTACTATCATTCCCTAATATCCATTTGTCTTCCACACAGGCTAAATGTGAATGGGATGGTAAGGTAAGCTAAATGGAACGTGATGAGAATCACCACCCCTGAGTCTTTCAGGTTCTTGAGGGCAGCAGTAATATCTGCAATTCCTTCAGAAATGCAGTATTGCTTTTGATTTATTATTTTTGTATGTTGGGAAAGTTCTACTGGTTTCTGCTTGGCCTTTCCTACCAGAATAGCCTTATGTTTGAGGGTCAGGGAAACATTGTAGGGGTTCTGCTAGTTTGGAGTATGTCTATTCAAACTCTGCATTCTGGAATGAGAAAATAACCACAATGGGAGTTTGGAAACCCAATGGGCTCACTGGCTATTGTGTGATCCTAGCCCAAACCTGGAAATAACTCAAATTTTCCATCAATAAATGAATAAACAAATTATAGTATATCCATACCATGGAATACTACTCAGAAAAAAAAGAAATAACAATAGATACCCACAAACATAGGTAAATATTAAAATTATTGTGCTGAGTGAAAGTAGCTAAACAAAAGGAAGACATACTGTGTGCTTCCATTTATAGAAAATCCAGAAAATGCAAACTGACCTATAGTGACAGGAAGCAGACTGGTGGTTCCCTAGGGATTGGGAGTGGAGGTCCAAGAGAGACAAATTCCAAAGGGTCCTAAGGAAATTCTGGGGTGGCTTAAGTGGGTTCATGACATTTGATGATGTGTTGGTCATGGTAGAATGGCAGAAGCAGAAACTCAGTGGCACTGGGTTGAGAAATGATGAATACTGAGGAGTAATGAGGAGCCAGTGGGTCCTATGACTGTATGCAGATGCTTCCTGAGGAAAGACTGAGAAAGACACAGTGGTATTGGTTAGCACCAAACTTCATGGAGTGCTGTTCGGGATTCCACCTGGCTTAATCCAATGAGCTTGCCCTTCTCCGCTCCTTCTCCTGCACTGATTCTGCTCCTAGGGTGGAATTTACCTGCCTTTCCTCCTTGCTAACACACCCTAACCTTTATTTTCCAGAGCAATTTCTCCCTTTTTCAAACTATACCAGTTCAAGCTAAGCTCTCTCATTTCTAAGGACTCTTTGGCCATTTTTACCTGTATCACATTATACGACATGTTAGATTAGATTCTGCCAAAGTTGAAAAGCACCATAGTGTTAAGTGCATAGAAACTGGCAGTAGCCTGAGTTTGAATTCCACCTTTGTCATGTAGTGGCTGTGTGACGTTAGTCAAGTAACAGTCTCTTCGTGCTTCCATTTCTCCAGCTATAAGCGGATATAGCAGTATCTCGTTACGAGGATTAAAGGAGTTACGACTATGACAAAGAGTTCGGGACAGTGTTTGTCACATCCTAAGCCTAAGAATAGTGATAAAAATCAATTTGTGTTCCTGCTCCAGGAAGTTTCACGTTCACTGTTATGAGGGATACAATGACACATGTGGCGTTTGTCCTAGACTCGTGGAGCTAGCAATTTCGTGCTGGTCAGATTTAGATTTCATAGCGATTTTCTATGTGCGCTGGCCGAGCGGCCTCTGCACATGGGCAATTTTGGCATGAAAGGCCAGAAAGTCCATTTTTAATGGCCACTTTTTAGAACCTGTTTGCAAGGTGATAGAACGGTGACTGCCAGAATTCAGGAGGGAGAAATGGTGAAGCCTTTTTGGAGAATGCAGATGATGGCCTTTTTGCAAGTTTTCAGAAGATTTTCGTTTCAACGGACTAAAGCTACTGCCAGTAGCCCCTTGACAGGCCTCGAAAGGTAGGGGGGGTCCTTCAGACCCCATTCCCCTACTGCCCAGGCGGAAGTCATCGCTCCCAACCCTACGGTGGGCCTGCCCTCAGGCCCCGCCCCTCCGGGCTGGGTGTCTAGCTTAGGCCCCTCCCCTCCTCATCCAGCGTCCTGCCCCTCCCCGCCCAGCTCCCCGCCCCTACCACGTATCCGGCCTCGGCTCCGCCCCCATCCCATCGCCCCGCCCCTCCCGGGCGCGCTGTCTCCTGCCCTGCCCTGAGTCGCCGCGTCCCGGTCGCCGCCCTCGTCGCAGTCGCGGACACCTCGCTCGGCGTCTGTGCCTGAGGGAGCGCGCGCGATGGCGGCCGAGGCCCTGGCGGCTGAGGCCGTGGCGTCGCGCCTGGAGCGGCAGGAGGAGGACATCCGCTGGCTGTGGGCGGAGGTCCAGCGCCTGAGGGACGAGCAGCTGAGCGCGCCAGACCGCGGCCAGGCGGAGGGGCCGTGCGTCACGCGGGAGGTGGCGCAGCTCCGGGCCGAGAACCGCGACCTGCGCCACCGCCTGTGCCGCCTGCGGCTGTGCCTGGCCGAGGAGCTGAGCCGCCAGGCCACGCTGGGGAGAGCGGCGCGGGTGGCGGCGCAGGAGGAGGCCGGGCGCACGGGGGCCGGCGCGCAGGTAACCCGGCGGCGGGGACGCAGGAGAGGGCGCGGGCGGGGCGGGCCGAGATAGTGCGCACCGAGCGGTTTGCAGCGCCGGGGACAGGTGCGGGGGCGCCCCGGGGGAGTGTCCGCCCAGCGCCCTGCCCTGCCCTGCCCTGCCCTGCCCTGCCTGTTCTCCCTTGCGGCCTGGGGAGCCGCTGGATTTCCAACAGGCGCCCAGTTTACTAAATGTTGTTGATTTCTCACCTCGCCCGTTGGAGAGCCTGCCACACATCTTTTTCAGTAGCAGAAATGGTGTTTTCATTTGTTTGAAAAAATGCTGAAGTGTTTAAAACTCATTATTCTTGCCTTGGGCAGAAAGACAGCTGCGTAATGTCAACTCTTTCATTCCCTCTGGTTCTTGTTTTTTGTTGTTGGCTTTTTTTGGACGAGAAGTTTTAGCTTTTTGTGCCCTTGTTTTGGTGGCCTATCTTGAGAGGATACCTGTATATTTAACATTGTTTTTGTTTTGATTTTTTTTGAGACAGGGTCTCTCCGTGTCGCCCAGTATGGAGTGCAGTGGCGCGATCTCTGCTCACTGTATCCTCCACCTTTGGGGTTCAAACGAGTCTCCTATCTCAGCTTCCGAGTAGCTGGAATTACAGGCACCCGCCATCACGCCCGGCTCATTTTTGTATTTTTCGCAGAGACAGGATTTCACCGTATTGGCCAGTTTGGTCTCGAACTCCTGACCTCGTGATCCTCCTGCCTCGGCCTCCCAAAGTGCTGGGATTACAGGGGTGATCCACCACAGCCGGCCAACGTTGTTATTTAATACAGTGTTTTTATGATTTTAGGAAGGATAAATTATCTTATTTTAACATCATAAACTTTCTGAGTCCTGAAGCTTCTCAGGCTGTGAGATGTTCAGTATAGTCCTTTAGGAGAGACAGCTGTGGTGAACTAGCCACATCTTCATGAAAGAGTGCATTTGAAGTGGCAGGCAGCAACCACACATTTTCCAGCCACATTGTTTGTTTAAAGTTCAGGACAGAAATTTTTCAAGAGCAAAATATATTAAATATGCTTAGCAACAGTGTGAAAGAAATGCAGACAGGGAGGACTGAACCCTGGAAAATGACTTGCCGATTGAGAGGTGTTGGTGTGGTCAGGAGAGCCAGCTATGAGCCTCTAAACATGGGCACTTGCAGCCTGCTGGCATAGCTCTCGGCTTAAGATGTGTTGCTTTTTTTTTTTTGTTATTGATGTGAGTCATTTATAATTTATCTTTCAGCCTCCTTCTAGTCAAAGCCGAGAAAAGGACATGAAAAAGAAGAAAATGAAGGAAAGCGAGCCGGACCATGAGGTAAGTTGTTGCTATGGAAACAATATAAACTACTACTTGTAATTTCAAATATGTGTCTATAGTTAATTACCCAGGATTTCCAACAAAAATTACTGATCAAATTATTACTTGGGTTATATTGGTGTGTTTAAAACTTTTCAAGCCTTAAATTTGAGATGTCTCCAGAAATGAGCTGCCCATATTTAATAAACACCTGTATTTAATCTATTTAAGTTGTGCAAGCTTTTTTTCCCTTGTATTCAGGAAACTAGCTACTTTGCTTTTGTGTATAAATCATTAAAACAACCAGGAAGTATTTATCTGGCATCAACATTTGCTAGGAGTGCAGGAGGAATACCTGGGCCCAAAGGTACCAGTCTGGTTGAGGAGTTTGGGGAGACTCAGAACATCAACTAGGGAGCAGTACAATAGTGTACAAGTAAATGCTGTAATGTGTGACTATGCACGTTCTGTAAACAGTGGAAAACGGAGGTGCCAGTGGGTGAAGTAGGTAGAAGAGGCGGGCTTTAAGGTGGACGGTTAGAGCTAAGGAGAAATTAGATAAGCAGAGAGGAGTTTTTTGGAGTTGGGAAGTACATATGCTCCTAGTCTTACAGTTTGGTTAAGTCCCAATAAACCCAACGTGAGTTAAAAATGTATGTAATGGCCGGGTGCGGTGGCTCAAGCCTGTAATCCCAGCACTTTGGGAGGCCGAGGCGGGTGGATCATGAGGTCAAGAGCTCGAGACCATCCTGGTCAACATGGTGAAACCCCGTATCTACTAAAAATACAAAAAATTAGCTGGGCGTGCTGGCGCGTGCCTGTAATCCCAGCTACTCAGGAGGCTGAGGCAGGAGAATTGCCTGAACCCAGGAGGCGGAGGTTGTGGTGAGCCGAGATTGTGCCATTGCACTCCAGCCTGGATAACAAGAGTGAAACTCCGTCTCAAAAAAAAAAAAAAAATGTATGTAATACATCTAAGCTAGTGATCATCATAGCTTAGCCTACCTACCTTTAAAGTGCTCAGAACACTTATATTAGCTTACAGTTGGGCAAAATCCTCTAATACAAAGCCTATTTTATTAGGAAGTGTCAAATATCTCTACTGAGTGAAAAACAGAGTGGTTGTATGAATATTACTTTTACAATATCATTGAAGTTGAAAAGTCATGGCTGGGCGTGTTGGCTTATGCCTGTAATCCCAGCACTCTGGGAGGCCAAGGCAGGTGGATCACTTGAGGTTACGAGTTCCAGCCTTGTCAACATGGTGAAACCCCATCTCTACTACAAATACAAAAATGAGCCGATGGCGTGACATGTGCTTGTAATCCCAGCTATTCGGGGGGCTGAGGCAGGAAAAAAATCACTTGAACCTACGAGGCAGAGGTGCCAGTGAGCTGACTTCGCACCACTGCACTTCAGCCTGGGCAACAAAGCAAGACTCCATCTCAAAACAATAACAATAACAATAACAACAACAACAACAAAAAATATCGGGCATGTTGGCTTATGCCTGTAATCCCAGCACTTTGGGAGGCCAAGGCTGGTAGATCACCAGGTGGAGAGATTGAGACCATCCTGGCCAACATGGTGAAACTCTGTGTGTTCCAAAAAAAAAAAAATTAGCTGGGTGTGGTGGGGTGCACCCGTAGTCCCAGCTACTTGGGAGGCTGAGGCAGAAGAATCACTTGAACCTGGGAGGTGGAGGTTGCAGTGAGCCGAGATCTCGCCACTGCACTCCAGCCTGGGCGAGAGAGTGAGACTCCTCAAAGAAAAGAAAAGAAAAGAAAAGAAAAGAAAAGAAAAGAAAAGAAAAGAAAAACTGTAATTCAAACTGTGGTAAGTTTGGGATCATCTGTAGAGCGATAGAGGCTAGACCTATGGTATGCTGGGAAAGCAGTGAGGGGGCAGAGCTGATTCAGAGCTGAGCAGCTAGAAAATAGTGGGCTGTATATATTAATCTCATTGTGTTCTAATAATTTTCAGGTGAAACAGCAACCAAGTTTCATAAAAGAAAGATTGAATCTTTTTGAAATATTGAAGAAAGACCATCAGCTCTTACTTGCCATTTATGGAAAAAAGGGAGATAGAAGCAATGTGATCACAGTAAGAGTGGCTGATGGGCAGACAGTGGAAGGGGAAGTCTGGAAGACGACGCCTTACCAAGTGGCTGCTGAAATCAGGTAAGCCGTAGTGTGGAAAGATACTAAATTATTAGTATTCAATATTAAATTAATACAATATTAAATAAGTATACTGGAGCCTGGTGAAAATGTTTTCTTAGGGACCGCTAACATTAGTCCATTCTCATGCTGCTGCAAGGACATACCTGAGACTGAGTAATTTATAAAGGAAAAAGGTTTAGTTGACTCACAGTTCAGCAGGGCTGGGAGGCCTCAGGAAACTTACAGTCATGGCAGAAGGGGAAGCAAGTTTGTCCTTCTTCACATGGCAGCAGCAAGGAGAAGTGCAGAGCAAAGTTGGGGGAAAACCCCTTATAAAACCATCAGATCTCATGAGAATGCACTCACTATCAAAGAACAGCATGGAGGTTGCTGCCCCCGTGATTCAGTTGCCTCCCACTGGCTCCCTCCTACAACACGTGGGGATTTGGGGAAGTACAGTTCAAGATGAGGTTTGGGTAGGCACACAGCCAAACCGTATCAGCTAAAATGTATATATTTTTCTTCAGTTGAATAAATTAAATGTAATTATTTTTTTTTCCTCTGGCTTCTCCAGAGGCCATTTAAATAAGTAGTTGAATATCAGAACACAGTGATTTCCTGTTCTAATAAAAATATATAGGAGAGAAAAAAACATCTGTAATTCTTGACAGGCCATTTTTACACTGACTTTATTCATCAATCAAATCATTTCCATGAGTTTACAGGTCTTTTAATTATAGACTGAAGGTACATGTGTTAGAGTTATTATCAATCCTGGAAAAGTCCTTTGAGCTTTCTAGAAATTAGATACATTAGTGAAGTTATATTGTGTTGACTAATGTTAATTCCTCGTGTTAAATTCAGTTGTATAGAAGCTATTACATAAATACAGTTATATAGCTTCTATACAATCGTATTCAATGCCATGTAAATAAATGTTTATCATTTAAAAAGCAAACTGCTTCAACAATTGAAATTCTCAGATTTTCTTTGAAAATGATGGCTAGGATTGTATTTCTGACTCATCCTATTATATTGTTAAATGCTCTCCCAACCTGTTTTCATGTTTTCCAGGAGAAATGATGTGCTAGGAAAAAAGAGGTTTTGAGGCATGAACAAGTTTGTTTTCTCATGGAGAGTCAGGTTGCATGTTAAATGTGTTAGGACAGTATTTCTCAAAGTGTAGTTCCCAAACCAGCAGCATGGGCATCTGGAACTTCTTAGAAAAGCACATTTGGCCAGGGGTGGTGGCTCACACCTGTAATCCCAGCACTTTGGGCGGCCAAGGCCAGTGGATCACCTGAGGTCAGGAGTTCGAGTCCAGCCTGGCCAACATGGTGAAACCCCATCACTACTAAAAATACAAAAAAATTAGCTGGGCTTAGTGGCAGGTGCCTGTAATCCCAGGTACTTGGGAGGCTGAGGCAGGAGAATTGCTTGAACCCAGGAGGTGGAGGTTGCAGTGAGGCAGGATTGCACCGTTGCACTCCTGCCTGGGTGACAGAGGGAGACTCTGTCAAAAAAAAAAAAAAAAATTGGGGGGGTCCTACCTCAAACCCCCTGAATTGATCAGCTGTCTGTTTTTATGAGCCCTCCAGGGGCTTCTGATGCAAGCTAATGGTCCAGAAGTGACCAGTCCATCTGCCATATTTCTGGATGGACATTTCTGGTCCATGCAGTTATTTATGGACCCAGCTTCCTTCCATCTTGTTGATCTCCTGTCCCCTAGGTAGGGTTTCTTTGTGTCTAGTGGTGGAACCTGGGTCCCTGCATGGGCCTGCCTGCATTCAGGAGGAAGAGAAACTGCAGAACAATGATGCTTTAAGGCCAAGACCCCATAGTGGCTCGCTTCAATTTCCACTTCCATCCTGTTAGCTCACGTTTAGTCACATGCATGCCTGGCTGTAAGAGAGAATGGGAATATAGCTCTATTGGCCGCCCAGCCACATGTCCAGCTAAAGCCTTCACACCATGGAAGAGAGGAATGGTTTGTGGAACAACAGGGAGTCTGCCACAGTCTGCCCCTCTGACATCCAGGTATCTGTGGGAACTCTTCTTCAACATCTGACACACTCACTCCCCAAGTGAGTCAACTCTTAAGTGCCATAGCTCAAAGCCTGGAATTTCCAAGTGATGTACAGAACACCTCCCATCAGGCTGACCAGTTGTATTCTAGCAACCAGCTAATAGACAAGTCTGCTCACACTACACATGTATACGGTGCACAGAAGACGATCACAAAGTGTGTGTTTGGAAAAAAAAAAAGGAGAAATATGGCAGACAGTGTTTTAGAGAAGTCATCAGATTCTGCTTGAAGCGACTGTGAGGCCCCACAGCCTGGCAGCGGTTAGTGCTTGTGTCAGCCCATCTATTCTCGCTTGCTTCTCTGGAAGCAGCTGTCTTGTCCATGGTCCTCCCTGGGCCCTGATTTTGCTCTTTGGGAAGTTCAGAGTTATCCATTATCCTCATTTGTCACATCTAAAGTGCACGACAGTTTGTCCTCTTGGGGTCTGTGCAGTTTGCACAGCTCAGTTCTGTGGTGCACACTTGGGACCTGAGGGTTCCTTTAGGGATCACATAGTCACAGATATTTGTGAGCTGGGCTTATAATTTGTTTGGCAATATAATTTCCACGATTAGTTAACCGTAGTAGGCTTCTGGTCTGTTTGCAACTAATCAGTTCCACGTGAAAGTAATCTCATTTAAAGAATCTTCTAGACAGAGACGGCTTTTGTATTTGGCTCATTCCTCTCTCCTTGTTTAATGGACTGAGGTCATATGAAGCAACAGGCTTGTGGGAGGGAGGCACTCTTGTTCTCTTACCCTTGCAGTTCCACTGGCCTCTATGTCTGTATTTATGTGAGGCCTTTGAGAAGGGCTGTCAATGCCTGTCCCTCCTGCTGTTTGGGAAAGAAGATTGTCTTTCCAGAACCTCACATAGTCCCACATTTCTGAACTTTTGGTCAATTGAATTACAGGACACAGGCAGAGGGAGCCTCCCTATCCCTTCCATCTCTACTTGCAAACTAGATTGTTTTCATCTGAGATAGCTCATTCTGGTAGCTTCATGCTGAAAGCAACAAGAGTTACCTAGGGTATACTAACACTCTCCCCTTTTATGTGTGCTTTCTTGTGAGCTACAAGCACTGTGACACATGGTCTGCCTGCAGGTTTTATCAGATATTTTGTTACACTATGACAGAGGTTATTGGCTTTCCATATCAGGCTGCTGAGCCAGTGCCATGTTTTGGTTTTTCACTTCCAGGTCCTTACTTCTGTATTACCCAAGACAAATACTAAGCTGCTGCAACAAAGACATCACAGAAAACTCGGTGGCTTGAACATGATCAAAGTCCTTTCATATAGCAGTCTAGATGTGGGTGGTCCAGGTTGACTGGGTGACACTTCTCCATACAGTCATTTGGGGACCCAGATTTCTCCCATCTGGTCGCTGAGCTGTCTGGTACAATGTTGCCCTTGTCTACATGGTTCAGAAAGAACAGCACATGGGTTCCCGTGTCCAGAAGGTGGAGAGAGGATGGAGAAGTGGCCTCTACTGTCTTAATGATGAGACACAGAAGTGTCACACATGCTTCTGCTTCTATCCATTGGCTCCAAACTTGGCCACGTGGCCACATCTAGCTGCAAGGAAGGCTGGAAAACTCTTTCTGTGGGAGAAGGGCAGAATGGGTTTGTGGAACACGTAGCCATCTATGACAGCCAGTAACAATGAAAGGAAAGTTTTACTTGATTAATAACATCTAACATTTATTAAGTTCCTGTTATCATATGTATACATGACAGAATCGTGAGTATAAATGTATGAGGAATTCCTATAATCCCCATTTTATAGATAAGAAAACTGAGGCTTAAGAGAAGCTGAGTAAATTATCCAGTATTTAAACCCAGGTTGGCCTTTCACCTGTGTTCTGACAATGCTGTATTGCTGCTCAAGTTAATGACGGAAACGTAAATTAAAAGATAACATTGTAGGCTGAGTGTGGTGGCTCACACCTGTAATCCCAGCACTTTGGGAGGGAGGTGGAGGTAGGCAGAAGTTTGGGGTCAGAAGTTTGAGACCAGCCTGGCCAATATGGTAAAACCCTGTCTCTACTACAGATACAAAAAGTAGCTTGACATGGTGGCATGTGCCTGTAATCCCAGCTACTTGGGAGGCTGAGTCAGAAGAATCGCTTGAACCTGGGAGGCAGAGGTTGCAGTGAGCCAACATCGTGCCATTGTATTCCAGCCTGGGTGACAGAGCGAGACTCTGTCTAGAAAAACCAAAATTACATTGTAGAGTTGATACAGTTCAATAGTACGTAACATGAGAACTCAAAGACAAGATACTCTTGTTCTGCTGGTAGGAAAATTTTGCAATATATTCTGACAGAAATGACTAAAAATGCATTTCCCTGGACCTAGCAGTTTTACTTCCAGAATTTTTCCCAAGAAAATAATTGAGTAAAATATATGTTCGAGAATGTTCATTGCAGCATTATTTTTCATTGCTACTCGCCCTCCAAAGTACCCATAAAAATAATTGAAATACCTAGCAAATATTGGTTCCTCCATGACTGTTAAATACCGCGTTTTAGAAGTCTGTTTTAGAAGAAAGTGCTGTGATTTATTGTTAAGTTTAAGAAGTAGGTTATAAAATAACAATTGTGATACTATTAAACATTTTTATTCCTATGTATTAAACATGGAATTCACATGTATTAATATGTATTAACATGGAAAGCTATAAACAAAACATTAGTGGTAATTCCTTGGTGATGGAATTATAGGTGATTTTTTTCCTTTGTGTTTTCTGTGCTTTCCAGGTTTCCTTTCTTGACTTTCGGCCTCCCAGAGTGTTAGGACTATAGGTGTGAGCCACTGTGCCCTGCCTTATAATTTCTTACAATAATATTTTCCTTAAGTTAGAATGCTTTAGTTACTAAATTAATGTGTGTTTGAAATAAACATTGTTACTAGACTGTTAAAAATTGGTCTACTTTATTTAAAAAAATTAAATTTTTTTAAAATAAACAATTTTCAAAAAATAAATGTTATTTAAAAGATACACAAAATAAGAGAAAGAAAGAGATCAGCACCTCACTGGAAGACCATCCTGGCCAACATGGTGAAACCCCATCTCTACTAAAAATACAAACATTAGCTGGGCATGGTGGTGCACACCTGTACTCCCAGCTAGTGGGGAGGCTGAGGCAGGAGAATGGCTTGAACCTGGGAGATGGAAGTTGCAGTGAGCTGAGATTGCACCATTGCACTCCAGCCTGGGTGACAGAATGAGACTCCGTCTCAAACAAAAACAAAATAGGCAAAGGAAGTAGATAGTTTATGAAAGTAAAAATAGCTTGTAAGCCTGAAACAAATTTAATAATTAAAACAACAATTTTCAATGTCACAGTGACAAAGATTTTAAAAATCAGGGTCCATGGAAGTGATGCGTTCAAATGACATTTATCAGAACTCTTTCAAAGGTACATTCCCTTTGATCTAGTAATTTCAGCTCTGTGGTCATATTCCCAGAAATCAGTCACAGAAGTCACAAGATGCCTGTGTACAGATATCTGTGGGGTATACTCTATGAGAGCAAATGTTAGGCTACCTCAGGGTGCAGCAGTGGAGGCTTCATTAATAAATACGATACTTCAGACTGCTTCGGAAGGCTCTCTGAGGCATGGCAGAGAGAACGCAAGCTATACGATTATGTTGGCAACTGCTTCTAAAGACACCACATATGTGTGGGTGGGGTGGATGGAGGTAGAAGAACCACTGGATAGAAATGTACCGAAATGTTATGAGTAGTGATTTCTGATATTTATATGCGATTTTTATTTTATCCTGTGTGCTTTCTCAGTTTTCCATGGTTTTTTTTTTTTTTACAGTGAATGTATATTACTTTTCTACGTAAAATAAATTTACAAAACAAAAAGTATCTGTCCTGTTAGCTTACATTTGTACTTTCTATCCACTTAAAAAATTAGCTGGGCACGGTAGCGCGTGCCTGTAATCCCAGCTACTCAGTAGGCTGAGGCAGGAGAATTGCCTGAACCCAGGAGGCGGAGGTTGCGGTGACCCGAGATCGCACCATTGCGCTGCAGCCTGGGAAACAACAGCGAAACTCCGCCTCAAAAAACAAAACAAAACAAAACAAAACAAAAACACCCTAGAAATTCTTTTAATTTTAAGGAGTCACTGTAGCAATGATAAGGTCAACTCCCAAGCTGTTTTTCTCTTCCAGTCAGGAACTGGCGGAAAGCACAGTAGTAGCCAAAGTAAATGGTGAATTGTGGGACCTGGACCGCCCACTGGAAGGGGACTCTTCTCTTGAGTTGCTTCCATTTGATAACGAGGAAGCTCAAGCTGTGAGTATTTAAAAATCAGATGGCCAAACTTTGGGTACTTACGCTAAAAACCGTGTTATATAAGAAGACACATATTGAAGTCAAGAACGCTGCATTTTTTTTGGGCTTTCTGAGATTTAAAATTTGAATTTTGATGTTTAATGTTTGTGGCATGAATATATATAAATACATATCAGTTTTTAAAGTAGCCTATATTTTTCCTTCTTTCTTTTTCTTCCCCTCCCCTCCCCTCCCCTCCCCGTCTTACTCTGTTGCCCAGGTTAGAGTGCAGTGGTACAATCATGGCTCACTGCAGCCTTGACCTCGCCTGGCCCAGGTGATCCCACCTCACTGTCCCAGCTATCTGGGCCTACAGGTGTGTTCCACCATACTCAGCTAATTTTTTGTATTTTCTATAGAGATAGGGTTTTGCCATGTTGCCTGGGCTGGTCTCAAACCCCTGGGCACAAGCAATATGCCTGCCCCGGCCTCCCAAAATGCTAGGATTACAGGTGTGAGCCACTGTGCCAAGCCTTATCATTTCTTACAATAATGGTTTCCTTAAGTTAGAATGCTTTGGTTATTAAATCAATGTGTGTTTTAATAGGCTGTTAAAATGAGTCTACTTTATAATTTAACATGTACAGGAGAATTGGAAGAAATTACAAGACTCAGATATCCTTAAATGCATAATATAATTTTCTATAAAACAAATATCACATTTTCACATATATGTGTGATATGATTTCTGACATACATTGTCCCCTTAACATTGCACTCACCCTTCAAGCTCCATTAAACCTAACTTACAATTAGCTTAGGTTACAGTAATTGCAAGGCTTATGCTAAATTTCTTAATCTAAACTATAAGAAGCATATTATAATTTTGTTTAAAACATGCCAAGTATAACCATTAAATATCTAAACAGTACACTATTAATTAAACCATGTTTAAAAGTGATTTTCAGAAAGTTCAGTACTGTAGACTGAATTCACAACTCTCCAGCTATAGCTAGCCATGCGTCAGTCTTTATGCGCTACTGCCTCTGTGATATCTGCACTTAGATATTGTACAAGAATTTTCAGTACATTCAACATGAAATTTTTGATTTTAACCCCAAAACTATTTCTTCCCTCTTTGCCTAAGTCAGTGCACTACTCCACCACATCTCCAGTTTCTCAACCTAGAACCTTGGAGGTTATGTGTGGTTACTCCCATTCCTCAGCTCTGATCTCCAGTGAGGGGTAAGCCCAGTAGCTTTTACTTCCTGACATACCTAGAATCCGTCCACTTCTCTCTCTCTCCGTTGCCACTGCCTGAGAAGCTGCACTCACCTTGTCAGAACACTACCCAAGAAACTGCCTACTTGCTGTTTTGGCCCTCAAAATCCATTCCCATTGAGCTATCAAATGATGTGTGCAATGTAAATTTAATCATTTTTTGCTTAAAACCCTCGAATGCATCCCATTGCATCTGGAGTAAAATGCGAACTCCTCCCCAAGGCCTGCATGGTCTCGGGCCCTTCCTTTCTCAAGCTACGCTTTGTCCCATCCCCTATGTGTTAGGCACACAAGCCTTCCCGAATCCCCGTGAATATAGGAGGCTCACCGTTTTTCTTTATTATAGAGCCCTTTTCACTTCCTATTAAATACCCTTCACGTCTTATAATTATGCACTTCCAGGTTTGTTCATTGCCCGTGTCTTCCCCAATAGGCTGTAACTGTATGGGGGCCGTGACCGTGTCTGCTTGTTTCACTATTATATCCTCAGCACATAACACAGTGGGAGATTGGGGCTGATGCTAGCCGTCAGCCTGCCATCCTAGCAGCATCCAGAGGAGAAGTGCTGTGCCCTAAGCACTGACTCTCTGGGTCTGTCTGCAAATCATATCCCAGCCTATTGCTGTGGGCTGGGATTGCGTATAACTGCTCCATCATCTGACTACTTCTGCTCTGATTCATTTTATCAAACAGCTTTTTAATTGTCATTTCCTTTCTATTTAATAAAAGGAAGGAAATTGCTGACAGATGACTTGATCATCTTACTCCTTTGGTACCTATATTTATTTGGGGACTTTGGTTAGTTTCATTCTATCCATAAACTGAAATGAATTCCTTGGGAACTGAAAACCATATCAACTTTTTGAACTTGGAGGACTGACAACCAGGCTTTGGACTGTGGTTAGTTAACCCATGTACACACTTCTCAGGGTGCTCAGGCAGCCAGAGACGTTCCCTGGCAACACTGTTTTCTTCCGGAGCCATCTTCCACACTTCCGCAGTCACATGCTCTTCAGCACGTGAAGACTGCTGTGGAGATGCAAAATCTTGTTAACTCCAGTGGTGTCATGAACACTTCAGTGCTCTCTGTCCAGCTCAGAGAGGGTAATCCTGGAGAAAAAGGAAGAGAGCTAGCATCTGGCACTCCTCAGTCTTCCTCCCACTCGGCTTCAATCAGGTTCGCACGCAGCTGCTTCGCTCGGTGTTCATCCTCCGTGGCTGACATGCACAGAGGAAATGGGTTGTAGCTGAGCTTTAGCCGCCACTCTCAGCAGAGCAGCTCTACACTGGCACTGAGCAAGTGGCTCTGGTGGAATTTAAGGGAGGGCTCAGAGAGCATTCTCTTCTAAGTGGGCATTGAAGATTTTCCTTTCAAATTGATTGTTGCTGCCCTTGGTCTTGCCATTTATCTCCTTAAAATTTTCTACTTGTTTATATCATTTTACTACTAATTTTCCATGTCATACTTTTGGTAGCTAATGGCCTCTCTGTCCATGCCATGCAGGTGTACTGGCACTCCAGTGCTCACATTCTCGGGGAGGCCATGGAGCTTTACTATGGAGGCCACCTGTGCTACGGTCCGCCCATTGAAAATGGATTTTATTATGACATGTTCATTGAAGACAGGTAACACACTGAACATGGCCTCTGAATGCATGTTTCCATTTTATTGTTTTGTAATGGTTACATACTAGCTTAGTAACTATAATCATATCATGCAATACAGTAAATATAATCAATCATGTACTGTTGGGCCTTACATAATGTGGGGTTATGGGCATTGGCACCCATGCAGTTGAAAATCCAAGTGCAACTTGTGACTTCCCCCCTAAACTTAACTACTAATTGCCTGTTGTTGAGTACCACATACTTTGTATGTTATGTGTATCATATACTATATTCTTAAAATAAGCTAGAGAACATAGATTTTAGGAAAATCATAAGGAAGAGGAAATATATTTACCATTCATTTGGTGGAAGTGGATCATCATAAAGCTCTTCATCTTCATGTTGAGTAAGCTGGTGAGGAAGTAGAGGGGTTGGTCTTGCTGTCTCGGGTGGCAGAGGCAGAAGAAAATCCACATGTAAGTGGACTCATGCAGTTCTAGCCTTTGTTGTTCAAGGGTCAACTGTATTGGATGATATGATTATAGATTGGTTGACCAATTTTGAAAATTACTTTTTAGTTTAGAAATGGTCTAAACCATTTTAATTTAAAAATAAAAATTAGTTTTAGTTATCTCTAGTTTAGATTCAAGAGACACCTCTAAAATAGTTTTCTTTTTTGTCCCCAGAAGAGTATGATATGCTATTTCTCTAATCTGGGACTTGCTAGAGCATGGTATTAATTAAGACCAGAATCGAAAACTTAATTCCTAGAGAGAAGTTAGTTTAATTCACACCACGATAATCAAGGGCACCATTAACGTCAGCCAAACATCTCACAGTTGAATGCCACACAGGGATGGTTCACAGAGCCTCACATTCCATAGACCTGTGCTCGACTCATTAGCAAACAGCCTGCTCCGTCCGCCTCCTGCCCTGAATTCCTCACAGCTCTTAAGGGTACCTCCAGCTGCCAAAACTGAAACCTCTGATCCTTCTACTTCCTCCCTACTCCTCCCCACCAAGCCACCATCCAGCTGTAGTCCAGTTCTGCCAATTTTATCTCCTAAATAGTTCTCCTGCCCGCTCTCCTCACTTCTGCGTGGCCTGGATAACTGTGGTGCATTTTGTCTTTACCTTCTCCTGCGAGATGCTTAATGACCTCCCCAAGCAAGCACCCAGCGCACTGTAGCTGCTACTTACAGACTGAACCACTGTTACAACCATGAACTGTGTTTACCTACAGCACTTCTGATCTCAAAGGTGTGGATTTTTTTCTACACCAACAGCAAGGCCCCAACTCTCTGGATACCAACTCGGTGTCAAATGATTCAACTCAATTCTGACCCTACCCTGAGTTAGTGCTGGTCACCTAGGGCAAGGGCTCAGTCCCACAAGACTGCCCCCAATTCAGATACCAGCCGGAAGTCTGGGCCTTCCATGTTTTTGACCTACAGGCTGCAAATCGGGAGTTCCCATGACCCCATCATTGGGTTCAATAAATTTGCTAGAATGGCTCACAGAACTCGAGGCAGTTTACTTACCTTACCAGTTTACTATAATGGATGTTACAAAGGATAGAGATGAACAGCCTGATGGAAGAGATGCTTATGTGAGGTGTGTGGGAGGGGCACAGAGCTTTCATGCATCTCTGGGTGCCATGCCCCAAACACCTGGATGTGTCTAACAACCTGGAAGCTCTCTGAATCTCGTTGTTTAGGGATTTTTATGGAGGTTTCATTATAGAGGCACAGTTGATTAAATCAAAAACAAAATGTTTTTGTTGCCTGCTGTGTGCCCTGTGCTTCATGTTGGTGATTCAGCACTGAAGGAATCAGTCTGTCCTTACGGCTATGACCATTGGTGATAATCCTGTCTCTAACCCCTCTTCTCTCCCTGAAGGAGGCAGGTGGGGGCACTGAAAGTCCCAACCCTTTAATCATGCCTTGGTCTTTCTGGTGACCACTTCCCATTCTGAAGCTACCTAGGGGACCAAGCCATCAGTCATTTCATTAGCACACAAAGACACTTGTATCACTCCAGAGATTGTAGGATCTTCAAAACCCTGTACCAGAAACTTGGACGAAGACCAAATATATGTTTCTTAGTGTGTCGCAGTATCACATCCAGGTCATCTCTTGTTATGAAAATGTTCAACAAAATGTTTTTGCTGCCTGCTGTGTGCCCTGTGCTTCATGTTGGTGATTCAGCACTGAAGGAATCAGTCTGTCCTTACGGCGCTAACAGTCTGGTTGGGGGAAGATAGCAAATGCATGAGCAGCCATCTGCTGCCAGGTGGTGATGAGCATAGGAATGTCAGCCAGGTGTGGGAGGTGTGGGCCATGACAGGCAGGTGGGCGGGAAGGGGCAAGTGCCATTGATGCAGACAGTGGAGTGGAGAGATGGAGCAAGCCCTAAGGATGGGGGTACTTATGACATCTGTAGGGAGAAGGTTCCAGGCCTCTGAGGGACTGTCCTGGGGTGGCTTGTTAAAGGAGTAGCAAGGAAGCCAGTGTGGCAGGAGGGAGTGAGGACTGACTAGGGGGAGACTGAAAGGAAGTCAGTCCGTGCATAGTGGAGGCTGAATGCTGCTGGAGCACCACAACTCTGCAGTACACACCTTTCCCAGACTTGGTTCCATGGCCAGTGAGGGCAGGGACATGATGAGCGCTCCTGAGCAAAACCAAAATGTGTGAAGGATAAGGAAGACGGCACAGAAAAACAGGCCTCCAAGGAGCTCATAGTTCCCCTGGTGTCTTCTAGCAGGGATTCCTGCTCATCTTGCAGTGGAGGAGAAATGAGGCAGGTTGTGGCAGCTGTTGATGCCCCAGTCTCCCTCTTTGAGACCCAGGAGTAGCAACTGTATGAAGTTTGACTTTCTGAAGTCCTGGAACGATAAGACACCAGATTCAAGTTAGAAAATGCATCACTGATGAAGCATCAGGACAAAGGAAAGAGGGAATGCATCATGTCCGGAAGGTCGATGTGGATTCTGTGCTCTTCCTTTCAGAGCAGTGTCCAGCACAGAATTGTCAGCCCTGGAGAACATCTGTAAAGTCATCATAAAAGAAAAGCAACCTTTCGAAAGACTAGAAGTCAGCAAGGAAATCCTCCTGGAAATGTTTAAGGTAACTTTGGGAAACTCTCCAACTGCTTACTAGGAATATTAAAATCAGGTAGACTAGCTTCACCACCTTCCCCCAAATAGTTAGCTGTTGCTCAGCAAATTGTTCTGATTCTGTTAAGCTACTGTGAAGTTGTTACCAGTTGCTTGATGTGACACTTCCCTTCCTGTCTATTTCCTGAAATTTGAGGACAAACTAGGCAGGTAAAGGGCCAGGCAAATAATTTTCATATGTTTGTTTATAAATCTGATTGATTAATTCTGAGTACTGTGATATCTGGTTCCCAAATTCCATAATATATATAATCCCATATAAAATGCTGCCTTTTTCTCTTTTCTTTGGGAGTTTTCTGTTAACTTTTTTTTCAAATTTTAACCTAGAGTAACCTGTGTGAAACAGTAACTCTCTCTCTATTTTTTTTGACCAATGTACTAAAATATATTCCTGGTTTTCTGTTTTAAAACATACATATTGGAGAAAAGCATACATTTTGTTTGTTTTTTCGGTTTTTTTTTGGATGGAGTCTCACTCTGTCTCCCAGGCTGGAGTGCAGTGGCACTGTCTCAACTCATTGCATCTTCTGCCTCCGGGGTTCAAGGATTCTCTTGCCTCAGTCCCTCAGCTGGGACTACAGGCATGCACCACCATGCCCGGCCAATTTTTGTGTCTTTTTAGTAGAAATGAAGTTTTGCCATGTTGGCCAAGCTGGTCTTGAATTCCTGACCTCAAGTGATCTGCCTGCCTCAGCCTCCCAAAGTGCTGGGATTACAGGTGTGAACCATCATGCCCAGCCAAAAACATACATTTTTAAAACAGAGTAGTATTATTTTTGTGGGCTTGAATAAAAAAGTAGAGTTGGTTTTGGTAAAAAGTTACAGGTACTCTTTTTTTGTGCAGTAAAATATATAACATATAAAATTGACCATTTAATCATTTTTAAGTATACAGTTCTGTGGCGTTAAGTGCATTTACAGTGTTGTCAAACCAGCACCATCAATGTCGAACCTCTAGGCACTTCGGATCAGTGGAATCAAGACAATATTTGTCCTTTTGTGACTGGCTTGTTTCACTCAGCAAAATGTCCTGAGGATTCATCCATGTTTTAGCATGGTCAGAATCTCCTTCCTTTATAAGGCTGCGTAACATTCCACTGTACAGATAGACCACATTTTGCTTATTCATCCATCCATCTATAGACACGTGGGTTGCTTCTACCTTTGGCTACTATTGTGAACAATGCCTCTGTGAACCTGGGCGTGTAAAGTTCTGTTTGAGTCTCTGCTTTACGTCTTTTTGGAATATACTTAGAAGTGGAATTGCTGGATCCTATGGCATTTCTGCTTTTCAGTTTTTGAGAACTTGCCATACCATTTGATGCAGTGGCTGTACCATTTGACAGTTCTACCAGGGATGCACAGGGTTCCAGGTTTTTCACATCCTTGCCAACGTTTGTTTGATTATGTTTTTCATAGACATCCTAATGGTTGTGAAGTGGTATTTCACTGGGGTTTTGGTTTGATTTGCATTTCTCCAATGACTTAGTAATGTTGAGCATCTTAATGGCCATTTGGGCATTTTCTTGAAGAAATATCTTTGGAGAAATGTCTATTCAGGTCTTTTGCCTATTATTTTCATTATTATTATTTTTAGATGGAGTCTCATTCTGTTGCCCAGGCTGGAGTGCAGTGATGCGATCTTTGCTCACTGCAACCTCTGCCTCCTGGATTCGAGCACTTCTCCTGCCTCAGCTTCCTGAGTAGCTGGGATTACAGGCACCCACCACCATGCCTGGATAATTTTTGTATTTTTAGTAGAAACAAGATATCACCATGTTGGTAAGGCTGGTCTCAAACTCCTGACCTTGTCATCCATCTGCTTTGTCCTTCCACAGTGCCGAGATTACAGGTGTGAGCCATGCGCCCAGACTTTTGCCCATTTTTGAATCAGGTTTTTTATATTTGAGTTATAAGAGTTCTTGATATATTCTGAATATCCATTTCTTAACAGATACGTGATTTGCAAAGTTTTTAAAAATTCTGTGGGTTGCCTTTTTTGCAGCTACTTTTAAGAACTAAACACAGTCTTTGTTAAGGAAAATGATTTGATGTGAATATATAGATATAAAACAGTTAAATCATACAGAGACGGGTTTTTCTCCTAACAGCTGCCTCCGTTAAGCAGTTATTTAATATAAAGTGCCTTGGATATTAGGATAATAGTGATGAAAGCAGAAGAGAAAGGAAAAGGAAAAAAACCTTAGTTTTATAAATGTATCATCATTACTATAAACTTTGCTTTTGTTTTTATACAAATTAACAATATAGCTGTGTCCTTATCAGAATTTTATGGATTTATTTAATGGAGTTAAAATCAGATCTTCTAGAACAGTACTGTCCAATAGGAACATAATGGAATCCACAAATCTGAGCCGTGTGTGTAACCTTAAATTTTATGGCAGCTACATTTTCAAAGTAAAAGAAAGTTGCATTGATTTTAACAAAATTCTTAACCCAGTATATAAAAAGTATCGTTTCATCTGTAGCCAGTATAAAGTATGATTAATGAATGATTTTATTCTTCTTTTCACGATATTATACTTCCAAAGCCCAGTGTGTTTTATACTCTCTGTACACATTCTTTCAAATTAATGGCATTTGAGGCCAGGTGCGGTGGCTTGCACCTGTAATCCCAGCACTTTGGGAGGCTGAGGCAGCCTGATTACTTGAGGTCAGGAGTTTGAGACCAGCCTGGCCAACATAATGAAATCCTGTCTCTACTAAAAAATAAAAATGAGCCAGGTGTGATGGTATGCGCCTGTAATCCCAACTACTTGGGAGACCGAGGCAGAATTGCTTGAACCCGGGAGGCGGACACTGCAGTGAGCCGAGATGGCACTACTGTACTCCAGCCTAGGAGAGGGAGTGAGACTGCCTCAAAAAAAACCCAAAAAAACCCAAAAAACAAATTAGTGGCATTTGAAATGCCCAGTAGCCATGTGGCTTGTGTCCTCCTTGCTGGACGGTATAGCTCAAGGCTGTGAGCTGTTTGTATACCTCATGTCTTAGCACCTAGAACATCAGTAGATGCCCTTTCAATGTTTCTTGAAAAAAGTAGTGTTGTTTTCTTCATTTAAACATTTTGTGTAATGTGTAAATATGTTTTTCTTTGTAGTACAATAAATTTAAATGCCGCATTCTGAATGAGAAGGTTAGCACTGCAACTACCACCGTGTACAGGTTTGTGTCCACACATGTTAAATGCTGCTCATTAGTAAACTTGAACGTGCTAGCAGTAGAGGCGGTTTGTCCTCTCGTTGGAGTTGTATCGTTTTTCAAGTTTTGTAGTTTATATTATACTTTAGTTAGGATCTTCAAAATGTTTTCACTAAAGAGAAATTATTTTCTCTGTTTTGGTAGTCAGGATGGTACTGAGACCCGTATTTTATTTTCTGGGTGTCCTATAAGGGTTTTTCTCCATGTGGGTGATACTGTTGGGAAAGGAGTTTCCATTCCATCCTTCCACATTAATCAGAACGGGGGCCATTCCAGGGCATCTCCTTACCAGTGATTCTCTCCAGTGTCCAGGTGTAGAAAAATCTGCCCCATTGTCCAGAGTCCAAGTGTAGCAGCCTTCATGCGTTAGCAGCATATTCATGATAAGACCAAAAGAAAATACTGGGAAACAAAGGCAGAATCAAATGTAAGAGGAGACGAGTGAAATTAATACCAGAATCACTTAGTTTAACCTCAGGTTCCTGAACTCCTTTTTATTTATCCATGTTTATATGCCTTATATGTAATTGCTATTCCCCTTTCTGTGTGTTCTGGCCATCTGGGTGCTGCTGGGACCCTCGCAGTACTGGCTTAGAAGACCTGGTATTTATTTAATTACAACCACAGATATTCTTCCTCGGGGTACTTATTTTCCACATTCAAGGACTTATGGTTCTCTGGTTTAATTGTACTATAAGTAAAATCATATCCCCTTTGTGCAAAGCTATGCACAGTGCATTCCTTAAATTATAATGTGCACTCAATGCCATTTGATATTGATGTGGAATGCCATGTTTATCTTTTTTTTTGGTATTATCCAATGACCTCATAAAGTTTTATTATTTGTTGTTTATAATTCAAATAAATGTTAGTATAACCATTTTAAAATTTAAAAATAAATGAAAATATAGGAAACAGGCTAAGTTTTAAATTTCTGGCTTGAGTTGTTGGGGTTTAGAACCTTACCTAGGTCAACATTGACACTTTTTGTAGTTTTCCAATTTGAATGACTTGTATTTAATTTTTGAAAAACCATTAAAGCTTTTGCGGCTTTCTATTTAAAGGTTAGAGTATCGAAGGCTTTCGTGCTAATTCGGCATTCCTTCCTTTCATCTGAGTTTTACTCAGAAGCTGTCTCCCTAGAGAACAATACACAAAGACTGGCCATTGAAAGAGATGACATTTTTGTGTTTGCCAGGCTATGAGCCAGTCCCTTTTTATATTTGTTGTAATTTTTAAGTTTCTAATCAGTGAATTGCATAGTTTCTTTCAGAAGATGTTCTGCGGTTTTTGAATCTAGAGGGCAGAGTGGACTCTGAGGCTAGATGAATTGCCTCTCTCCTTCACCCTAAATTTAAAATGGCCTTGTCACATATAAGTGAAACTCTACCTAAAATATAGGATATTATGGCTTATCATGAATAGTCCAAAAAACTGTAACTGTGCCTGAGCATGTCTTAAATATTTCGTTATAGGTGCGGTCCATTAATTGACCTTTGCAAAGGTCCACATGTAAGACACACTGGAAAAATTAAAACCATCAAAATTTTTAAGGTAAGGATTGATTTTTTTTTAATATAGCAAACTTAAGGTGCACTAGATATTAAGGGATTTCAATCATGTCTTTTGTAGTCTGAACATCATATTTTAAAATATTTTATTCTTATTTGACTAAAACTAATGAAATCATTTAGAATTTTGATAATTAGAACACTATAGGTAGGTTTGTTTATTGTTTTACCTTATTGCGAGTGTTATAACATTTCTTTTTCATATAGTATTCTATTTTATTTATTTATTTATTTTTCTGAGATGGGGTCTTGCTCTGTTGCCCAGGCTGGAGTGTAGTGGTGTGATCTTGGCTCACTGCAACCTCTGCCTTCCAGATCCAAGCTATTCTCCTGCCTCAGCTTCCCAAGTAGCTGGGATTACAGTCATTACGCCTGGCTAATTTTTGTACTTTTAGTTGAGATGGGGTTTCGCCACGTTGGTCAGGCTGGTCTCGAACTTTTGACCTCAGGTGATCTGCCTGCCTCGGCCTTCCGATGTGCTGGGATTGTAGGTGTAAACCACTGCACCTGGCCTTTTTCATATGCTTTTTAAAAAACATTGTTCTTTATACTGTGGTTTTGTTGAATTGCCCTGAAGTGAGCAAGAATATTTGTCTGCATGTGAAAGTAATATACTTCCCAAAAAAGAAAACAGCAGAAGGGGATATGATGGTGTAATGGAGAAAACGCTCTGGGATTTAGGAGGCACAGGACTGACTTGGCAGTCCCAGCCTTTCTGGGCTTTGGTTTTCTTACAGGTAAAATGGGGGGCTGGCTAGTGGCACTATTCTTAATCATTGACCGTAGGTCAGCAAGACCAACCAACCTTTACTTCCCTGCACCTGCCTTGTATTCTGCCCCGTCCTTGGGGACCATGATTGCTGCTTAGCCTTCACTCCTTTCCATGCGCTCTCACTGTCATTCTAGAATCCATAGCAGACTTTACATAATTTACTGATTAATATATAATTTGGGCTGGGAAGGTTTAGTTAGAATCCTTTTTAATATTGTTCCCAGCACTACAAACAGTCTTCTGTAAGTAAGCTTTGTTGATTTTGTTTGTTTGTTTGATTTTGAGACACGGTCTTGCTTTGTCACCCAGGCTGGAGTACAGTGGCACACACACGGCTCACTGTAGCCCCAACCTTTTGTGCTCAAGCAGTCCTCTTGCCTCAGTCCCCCAAGTAGCTGGGACTATAGGCATGTGCCATCGTGTCTGGCTAATTTTTGTATTTTCTGTAGAGATGGTTTTGCCATCTTGTCCAGGCTGGTCTCAAACTCCTGAGCTCAAATGATCTTACCACCTTGACCTCCCAAAGTGCTGGGATTATAGGCATGAGCCACTGTGCCAGGCTGCTTTGTTGATGTTATAATGGAAAATTGCATTCATATTTAAGAACAGTTTTACTTACAATAGAATGTTTGATATATTTACTAAAATTGTTTGATATTTAGAATTCTTCAACATATTGGGAGGGCAATCCTGAAATGGAAACATTGCAGAGGATCTATGGAATATCCTTCCCTGATAACAAGATGATGAGAAACTGGGAAAAGTTCCAAGAGGAAGCAAAGAACAGAGATCACAGGAAGATTGGGAAGGTATGCCCCTCATCTTTACCGCTAGGGAGATGTCATCGCAAGCCAACATGGAATGTTTCTGTCTCACAAAACTCAGTTGCTTTAAAAATTAGATTTCTTCTTCTTCTCTCCTATCTGTTTTGCTGGCACTCACAGTCTGCTGCAGAATTCTTTCATTCTAATACCCCAGATGTCTTCTAACCTCTTTCTCCTGTATCTTATATTAAATTATAAAAATTGCACCCTTCTTTTATTTTTGTCATGAAAGAAAAATAAAGTTTTTTTATATTCCATGCACTTGATACATCCGTTGTACCTGTTAAACAGAGCAGCATATAGAAGGAAAAAGTGAGATTGGAAAGCAGCTAGGCCTGAGCTTTAGTCCCAGTCCTTCTTGCACTCACTAGCTGTGTTAGACGATGGGCAAGGTGTTCACCTATGAAACTCCATGTTCTCGTCTTCCTTGCTGGGTAGCCTTGCAGGGTAGATGTGAAGACAGATACCTGATGATGGTGCGTGGTACGGGGCAGGTTCTCAGTAAGTGACAGCCATGATGATGATGATCACCACCTAAAGCCCCCCCTGCAATGAACTTTTTGGTCTTTTTTTACATGTTGTCTTCCCAGGAGTGCCATACTCCAAGTGTGCCAAGTAAAAAAATTACCGGAAAATAGCAGACGGTGACATAAAGCTAAGTTCAAAGCTAACTTGCCATAAATATGAATGGAAATTTTACTATGCTCTTACATATATTTAGATATAAGTATTGAATGGCCTTGGAATGTCTATTACTAGAGAAGATGGAAGTAACTGAGTATTATGTGTTTTATTCCCAGCATATCATGTGTGTGCAGTAAATATTAGGCCACAACAGATGACATTTGAAATGCAATTATTGTTTCAATCTAGGAACAGGAACTTTTCTTTTTCCATGATTTGAGTCCTGGAAGCTGTTTTTTCCTTCCCAGAGGAGCCTTCATTTATAATACACTTGTGGATTTCATACGAGTAAGTTGACTTTAAAATATTTTATTCTTACTCAATTCCAGTTTGCATTTTACTATTTTTTCTCGTAACAAAATGGTCAAACATCTCCACTAATTTTACTTTGGTAATATTAATAAGAAGTTTGAGGCTAAAAGTGAGATACTGGCTGGGCACAGTGGTACACGCCTGTAATTCCAGCACTTTGGGAGGCCGAGGTGGGCAGATCACCTGAGGGCAGGAGTTCAAGACCAGCCTGGGCAACATGGTGAAACCCCGTTTCTACTAAAAATATAAAAATTAGCTGAGTATGGTGATGCACGCCTGTAAACCCAGCTACTCAGGAGGGTGAGGCGGGAGAATTGCTTGAACCTGGGAGACAGAGGTTGCAGTGAGTTGGGATCATGCCGCTGCACTCCAGCCTGGGTGACAGAGCAAGACTCTGTCTCAAAAAAAGAAAAGTGAGATAACAGATTGTACCTTCTAGTAACAACATGGAGATAATTTCTGTTTTCCCTGAGTACATTCCTGGATTTCGTAAAATTCACTTTTTGTCCATGTAAGTTTCTAAAGCATGTAGATGTAAAGGCAAGCATTAGACTAGGTGTGGCGCTCCCTGTGAAAAGAAGAAAGGAGAAAGTGTCTTCTCTGGCACAGAGTGTTGAACCGTGAAGCATTGCTTCTCCAAGTGTGGTCCATGGGCCCTGGTGCTTTCCTTTGCCTAAAGCCTGACTCCCAGGTGATTTGGCAGCTCCAGAGGAAAGAGGAAAAAACCAATAGTGTAAATATCTACTTGTAATACAAGTTCATAAATGGGAAAGTCGTTAGTGTTTACATGGTGGGGACTGTGTAGATACCGTTCAGAGGTGATGCAGGTCGGCTACTAGGATTACATTTCCATTCTTGCACCATTTTGTCTTTACTCTAATCGCTACCTAAATTTTTCATTTACTTAGTCTTTTATGTGCCTACCACTAATTCATCCTCAGATTTCTCTGAAAAAGCTACATATCTCCCTGCAGTGTATTCTGCAATGATTCAGGTAATTGCTCAGTAAATTGTTTTCAAATTTGGTACTCTCACTCCAGAATTAACTTGCTATTAAGATTCTTGGAAATGGATGTCTTAGGGCTTATTTTCATCATCTTGGCCACTGTCCTCATGTCTCTTGCTGTGCTGAGTCCCGTTTCCTGGTCCCTACCTATCTCTTCTTCGTTTATCCTTAGTTCTCATTTGGGGATCACTTTCTTGAGTATCTTTCTGAGAAAAGAGTCTATAGCATGTGGCCTGTGCTGGTCATTCTCTGTTTGCTTCACTAGTCATGTTCTCCTTCCTTTCCTTCTTGTGCTGTGCCCCTGGAGGCTGACGTCTATGGATTCTATCACTTGGGGTTCATAATCTTTCAGTAGGGCCTGGCCAATGTGAGGCAGTGGTAGGAGATCAGAGGGCAGGGGGAGAGACTTGAAGAATCACTGAAAATTATCCGAGATTTAGATTTAGGCAGATGGTGATGACCACCATAGCTGCTGATTTGGATGTGCTGTCTTTTCTGGAAAATCAGCATGGCCCCTGGCACCCTGTACTCTCAAATTGGGAGTACAATAGATGAAGAATGAACAGAAAGCCTTTACGGTGGCATTGAGGGGATCTCTTCTTTTTTATAGATGCAAGACAGACGTGGCTGATGATCAGGACCAGGGCTTGATTGTGTGGGTCACCAAATTGTAAAGGCATTTAAATACACAAACCCAGTGATCCCTTATTCTAAGGTAAGGGTACTGGTTGGGAAGGCATGGGTTCCTGAGGCTTGGAATGGGAATATTTGACAGACACAGACAATGCTGAGAACTTCGAATTTCTAGGTACCCTTGTCTGAAGGAATTGGCCTTACCAAGAATTAAAACCTGTTATGGAACTCAGCTGTTTTTTTCCATTGGTTTTTTGTTATATGGTCATGTCTCTTCCCATATCTAGTAATATTTTATTATATGCAAGATACTGTATTTAATATAAGTATAGAGGCTCTAGATGATGTTATCTCCCACTGGACCATTCACCCCCTGCCAGTATTAAAGACTGATCACTTAGTTCAATCAGATTGCACAGGGTTAGGGCTGGCTTCCATTTTAATAAAATTCAACCAACTTTTGATTCCTGTTTCTAGGCCATGACCCTCTTGGGTTTCCAATTGACAGGCTGGCAGATCTGTGTCTTTTCAGCCCCATAGGACTGTAGGGAAGTCCATTCTGCTCTCCAATGTATTCTGTTCTTGAGTAACAAATAATTCCAAGTCTCATCTAATTACTGCATTGGCTCAAAAATCGAGTAAGGAAACTGCATCAACTAACAGGCAAAACAACCAGCGGGCATCAAAATGGCAGGATCAGATTCACACATTAAAAAAAAAAATCCAGTAGGATGTTATCTGAATCAGGCCTAGATGCATATGAGGCGCCTCAGGTGCAGTTTCTTGGGAGTGCATCATCAAGTACATTTCCTCTCCATCTTAAGACCTGTGAACTAAAGACACAAATTATCTACCAGCCACCTTATCCTCCCATCTCCTCCACATTATAAAATGATGCTAGAGGAAAAGGATGCAGTAGATAGTCTCATTCAAAAAGGAGTTGGGGAGAGTAGGAGGCACACAGTAGTCACCGTCTGTAGAAATTCTGGCATTTACCAGTTATCACTGCCCCAGGGTCAAAAGATACGCTTTGATCAAGATCCAGTTTTGTTCTGCCTGGCTGTGATTCTGCCCTCTGAGACATCCTTTCTCTTCCATAAGAAATGGCCCATGTGTATTTTGGGGTAGCTTTCTTAGTATTCTCAGCCTGATACCTTCCTGTAAAATGCTGGTGGTGGTCCAAAGCCCTCATTTCATTTTGTGCTGTCTTTCAATTCTAAGCCAGTACAATTCCTTTAAAAACTTTGTGAGGCCTTTTATATAAATTTATCATCAACATGGTTAGATAAAAGCCACATCCACATCTTTCTGACACAGATCCTTCTTTACCTAGGAGGCTACTGTGAGACAACAGTACACTGCAGTCTCAAAGCCTTTGTGTTTAACTGAGAGGGTCTACAAAGCACACTCCTAAGACTTTCAGAAGCCTTACTAGGTGCACTTACAGAAGATCATTTTGAGGTCTTCACAGAGTGTCTTACAGCCCCACCCTTACGACCTTTACCCTGAGGCTGTGCTTTGATGATTATAATCTGAATTTGATCTTTGTCCTGAAGACTTGTGAGTCTTTTTTTGGGACAGTCTAAGGAAAAGAAGGTTTTATTTATGAACCTAGCAGGTCCTCGTGACTATATTTTCTCTAAATTTGGCTCAAAAAGTTAATTAGTTTCACCTTTGGTTTATACTTCTCTTATATTTTACTGTAGGCAGCCAGAAATTGGTTGTCACTTTCTACATTCTGCCAGGACTTCTCCCCAGCTAAGTTCATGGTTCTTTGGGTACTCTTTCTGTTTTCCTTGTTACCTCTGGTGACAACGTTACCCACCATCTGTTTCTGGCACTTTGTAATAAAAATCCCTTTTAGGGTCTGCCCACTACCTGTCCCCAAAGCTACATCTTTTAGGTTATTGTTAGGTCAACTGAAGAATCATGAGGTTCATAAAATTGGAAAGGAGAGCTTCATTTCTTTTGAGGGATTGCAGCTTGGTATCCTTCTGGCAGAAACCAGAAGCAGGCAGGCATTTCGAGGGAGGGAAAAGTAAGACAGGAATTTATGCTGACGAAGTTGGCCAAGTATAAATATTTAACAGGTTGTAAGTTATGAATATTCACGAAGAGGGGACATGTACATACATAGTAAGCAAACATGCATGTTACATGCATCCTTTGTTCACTTTGAGGTCGAGACTTAACGCATTAAAATTGGGCTGTATAATCAAAAGGTCAAATGGAGGACACAGAGGCATCCCACATGCAGCTTTTGTAAACCAACCAGAACCAGTACATGGTTAGTGGTCTCTTACCAGGAAGGAATGCTAGTCAGTTGTGTGAATCAGTGGTGGAGTCTTTTGAAGGGCTTGTTTCTGTTTAACTCTTAGGAAAGAAAGCCTAATAGTGGTTAGTGAGGGAGTGGGTATCATTAGGTGTGCCCAACCTCCTGTCACTGCCAGTAACTCAGTTTTTAAGGTTTCTCTGGGGTCCCCTTGGCCAAGAGCGTGTCTGTTCAGTCAGTTGGGGAGCTAAAGATTTTATTTTTATTTCTTAGTTATAGCAGTACCTACATCCAGTTTGAAATTCTATTCTGGATGGTTGTTGCAGCATAGCCAAGCATCTTAGAAATCAATAGTTTGAAACTGCCATTTCATCATTACTGTCTTTCATAGTTCCAGATTTTAGGCTCATCTGGCTGGTTCTTGGATTGGGTCCCTTACGTGACTGTATTCAGATAGAGTCTCATGCCAGGGTTATTGACTGATGTGTAAGTTACATTGATTAAAATGCCCAGATCTGAAGCACGCAGTTCAATCAGTTTTCACACATGTGAACATCTACACAACCACCATCCAAATCAAGACAAAGATCACTTCCATTCCTCCATGAGTTCTTCTTGGGTCACTTCCTAGTCGATTCTTGCCTGCCTTCTCTCACCTGAGGTAATCTCTATGTTGATTCTGTTACCATAGACTAATTTAGCCTTGTCTTAAACTTCATATAAATGGAATCATACAATATTTTCTGCTGTGTTTTTTTTGTTGAGCTTAACATCTGAGATTCATCCAAGTTGTGATAGCTATGATAGGTCTTTTTGTATTATTTTGAGATATTTCATGTACTATGGCTGTGGTACAACCTGTTTTTCATTATCTTGTAGTTGTACTTTTATATTATTTCCAGTTTAGAGCTATAGTACATAAAGCTGCTATCAACAGTCTTGAACACACCTTTGGTTAGGGAGAAGAAATGGGGAGATGTAAATCAAAGGATATAAAATAACAGATATGTAGGAAGAACAAAGTTAGAGATCTAATTGTAGAACATGAGGACTAAAATTAACAAAATTATATTTTATCAGAGTTTTGTTAAATAATTAGATTTTAACTGTTCTTGTGATACAGAAAAGGTGAGATGATAAATATGTTATTTCTGCTTCTCTAACCATTTTACTATTTGTTTGTATCCTATAACATCATGTAAATCTCAAATATATGTAATAAAATTTAGTTAAAAAAGTTTTAAAGGCTGAGCAGAGTGGCTCACTCCTGTAATTCTAGCACTTTGGGAGGCTGAGGTGGATGGATCGCTTAAGTCAGGAGTTTGAGACCAGCCTGGCCAACATGGTGAAACCTTGTTTCTACTGAAAATAGAAAAATTAGCCAGGCATGGTGGTGCACGTCTGTGATTCCAGCTACTCAGGAGGCTGAGGCAGGAGAATTGCTTGAACCCAGGAGGTGGAGGTTGCAGTGAGCTGAGATCGTGCCAGTGCACTCCAGCCTGGGTGACAGAGCAACACACTGTCTCAAAACAACAACAACAACAACAGAAACTATAAATACTGAAGTATTTCTACTTAAAAGATTTGTACCCATTAAATAATTTTCATTGCTAAAGGAAATGTGAGGAAACAGGTATCTTACACTTCTCAAGAAAGTTTAAATTGCTACTAATCTGGTAGTAAATATTAGAGAGGAATCTAAAATATACAGTTAAAATCACATAGAAAAAAACTTGACTGCAGAATAGTTTGCAGTAGTAAAAAAAGAGAAGGTCTAATGTTTATCAATAGTGGAAGAGTTAAATGCTTTATGATACGTCCACACAATAGAACACTATGCAGTTATTACGAAAATATGTAGATACATAATAACTCCAAGGGGAGTCAATATATCTTACCATTGGAAACTGGAAGTTACACAGTAAATGTATAGTATATCCTTTTTAAAAGTAGGTAAAAGCAGAAAACAACAAAATCCGGTATGTGTGTATTGTGTTTGCATGGTCATGCAGATGAGGGTTGAAATACAGTAACACCAGGCCATTAGCGTTATCTCAGGGCAGGAAAGGGTGGAATGAGAGAGATGTTAAGGTTTTCTTTATAAATTGTGTATTTTTTTTCACATGAAACATTATTTAAGCATGTTATACTGTTGTGTTTAAAATTATATATTTTATAAAATAAATAATAATCACAGCAAGTGAGCCTTCTGTGGAGCCCATAGAAGTCAGCTTTGGGGGACCTAGAGCAGGTCAGTGAAGGAAGGAAAATGGACTGGGATGGGGTGAGACAGGAAGTGGCAGATGAAAAATAACCAGCCCGCCCGTCCCTCGTACCTCTCAGCACATTCTTGCCTTTTGCTTGGATGAGGGCATTGGTTTCTTTGCACAAAGTTCCATCAGCCAATGTATCATCATGTGGTGATGTCATTTCAATTTCACCTAAATCTAAATTGTGACATTGGCCACCGTGAGTGCCCTTCATGTAAGAATGCAAGGAAAAGACATAACTAAATGTAGTTGTTTCACCCCCAGACTCTGTAGATGGACACTAGGGCCAAGGTGATACATCAGAGCCTTCTTTTTCCATCACTCATTCCATGTTCCCCTTATCCTGCCAGCACCCTAGATGGGCAGTGTTTTATTTGGTGGGTGCATTAGTTTCCCAGGGTATTATAATAAAATACCATAAACTAGGTGACTTAAAACAAGAGAAATTTATTATCTCCCAGTTTTGGAGACCAGAAGTGTAAAATCAAGGTGTTGAGGCTATGTTCTCTCTAAAACCTGTGGGAGAATCCTTCCTTGCCTTCTCCTAGCTATTGCTGGTTGCCAATCATCTTCGTTCCTTGGCTCATTGAAGCATCATTCCCAGCCTCTGTGTTCTCCTTGTGTGTCTTCACATTGTCTTCCCCTGTATGCATCTGTCTCTGCATCCAGATTTCTCCTTTTTATAAAGAGACCAGCCATATTATATTAGGATCTACCCTAATGATCTCATTTTAATATGATTATAAAGACCCTACTTCCAAATAAGGACACATTCTGAAGTATTAGGAGTTAGGACTTCAGAATATCTTATTTGGAGAATACAATTAAACCAGTAACAGTGGATGGCCCAAATCTGTCCTAAGGATCCAAGTTTTCAGTAATGCTTTCTTTATTGGGTTTCAGGGTTTCCCACTGACTATTATTGTTAGATGTGTGGGTATCTAAGACTTCTCATTGAGTGAGTTTCAGACGTAGCCCTCCTTACTCGGCTGTAAGCAGTACAACTTCTCCCAGTAATTGGGATCAAGGGTAGTAAGTCCTTCTCCCAGTAATTGGGATCAAGAGTAGTTAGTCCTTTTCTGCCTATCATTTCTATAGCAAAGGGAGGCCATAATGGGCAAGGGACAATCTCAACTCCCAAGCATGTCTTGGTTTTTAGTGAAAACATCCTTTGGGCACCAAAACACATTATTGAAAGATTCCAAAACTCCAAGGATAAAGAAACTCTCCTAAATGTTTCCAGAGAGTAAAAAGGCACAGACATAGGACTGCGTATCAAAACGGCATTGAAATTTTCAGTGGAAACACTGAAAAACAGAAGACAGAAACAATGCCTTAGAAATGCGAAGCCTAGAAATCTATACCCAGCTAAAGCAGCTTGCTTCTGGATTTCTCCTACTGCCAACTTAGTTTTGGCTTTCCTAGGTCTTCTGAGGCAATTAATACTTGTTTACCTACTTTCCAGATTCTAAATTATTATAGCATTCATCTTCTCTCCTTTTCTCTTTGTTCTGGTAGATTTATGTTCTTTTAAAAACTTTCTTTACTCTTATTTTAATGGGGGTTTGGAAAGGAGCTGTTTATGTGGAATTACTTTATTTTTTAAGAGGACAAATTTCTTGAAAACAATTTTATGACACTGATTCTTAGATGCTATTTAGATGTTTTCAAGTGGCTAGATCACTAGGTGTGGGTAGGGATTCAGCTCCTTCAATAACCTGAACTATTACTTCAGGGATGAAATATGATTTTTAATGTTCCAAATAAGCTTTCTGGATTTCTTCAGGAGACTGGACTGAGCTGTGAACTGCTCAGTCACTGAGAGTTTACTCTTTCCCAGCCTTGGCTTTCTTTACTCTTTAGAGAAAGAAATTAATGAAATGGCATTAGACATATTTTACTACCCAACTTTTTCTCTTGAAAAGTTCAGATATACAGAAAAACTAAAATACAGTACAATGAACATCCATATTTCCTTCATCTGGATTCATCAATTGGTAACATTTTCCCAGTTGTTTTCTCTCTCTGTATGTGAGAGAAAGACAAAACAATATGTATATTATAATATGGAAAGCTATAGCAGCATAATGTTCTATGTGTAGATATCTTCTATATATATATATGTAAAAATGTAGTAGTTCTTGACACTTTATCTCATAGGGATTGTATTAGTTAGTTTGGGCTGCTATAACAAAGTACCATAGACTGGGTAGCCTATAAACAACAGAAGGGTATTTCTCACAGTTCTAGAAGCAGGAAGTCTTAAGATTTAGGGTCCCAGCATGGTTGGGTTCTGGTGAGGGCCCTCTTCCAGGTTGCAGACTGCTGACTTTTTTTAACCTCAGATTGCAGAAAGGCCCACAAAGCTTTCTGGGAATCCTTTGATAAGGTCACTAATCCCATTCATGAGGGCTCTACCCTTATGCCCTACTTCCTAATACCATCACCTTGGGGTTAAGGTATCAATATCACAATTTTGGGGGAGACAAACATTCAGTCCATTTCAGGGATAGTTTAAAATCATTTCTAAACATCTCAATGAAACATACATTCCTAACATTATTGTATTCAGAGTGAATTAAAAATGCATTGAGCAGTATCTCCTGAGCTAGACTTTAAAAGTAGTCTTTAGTAAAAGCAAACACACACCTTGCCCCCACCCCCACCCACACACTTACCCTTAATTTCTAGGACCTTGCTGATCTGAATATATGGAACCACCTGAAATAGCCAATAATCACTGTTGTTCTTAATGACATCATTTTGTAAAATGTTTTTCTTTTCTTTTTTTGAGATGGGGTCTAGCTCTCTTGCCCAGACTGGAGTGCAATGGCATGATCTTGGCTCACTGCAACCTCCACCTTCTGGGTTCAAGCGATTCTCCTGCTTCAGCCTCCCGAGTAGCTGGGATTACATGTACACCATGACACCTGGCTAATCTTTGTATTTTTAGTAGAGATGAAGTTTCACCATGTTGACCAGGCTGGTCTCAAACTCCTGACCTCAGGTGATCTGCCCACTTTGGCCTCCCAGAGTGCTGGGATTACAAGCATAAGCCACCACACCGGACCTGTTAACGTTTTCTAAGTTAGTAAAAACAAAGGGTGGGTACAGCAGCTCACTGAATGGCTGAGACCCAAGCTGTCTACCATGGACTGCCAAGATGCCCTGCTGAAGAGTATCAGATAACATTCCTTTCAGAAAACCTTTCAGTTGTAGTAATCTTAAAATGTTATGTTTTATGTTTTTTAAAGTGTAAAAACAATTTTTAAAACTTGCTGAAAGTATGGCATTCTAGATTTGTGCCAGATGTCCATTGAGTGATTTACAAATGTTGAGAATCTAAGGATTCTTAGAATTCTTACTTATGGAGGTTTTTGTGTTCATCCAAACTAAAATTGTCATGCAAAGGGTCCCTATTAATTACTGTCAAAACAATTTGACCTAATTGACATTTATAAAACAACAGCAGAATATGCATTTTGGGAAAGTGCACATAAAATATTTACCCAACAACGATCACCTAATTTTTTTTTAAGAAGTTTAAATAAAATTAAAACTTTGGTTGGAAAAAACTCTCTTCTTCTGTCTTCAGAGATTCAATTAAGGAAGCCGTTAATAGGTAGGGAGGGAGAGAAGCCAGCTCATGACTTAATAGATATCAGCTACTCAAGGTGTTATACCATAAAATTCTTCCTTCTGTTTCAAACTAAAACTAAATAAATCAAAATTATAACATGGAACATGATATTCAGACTTACTAAATTATAAATTTTTTTCTGCCTCTTAATAGGAAAAAACATTTTATCTAGAAGGACTTGGAGTTTGTAGTTACAGTGAGTTTCTATATATTTTGTATTTCAATTACTAATTTTCAAAGAAGTAAAACATTACATACTATATAATATTATATGCTATAAAATAAATACTTAATACAAATTATGCTGAGATCCAGAAACCACCACACCTAAAACTGAGGGTACATTAATCATGAATTAATATAGGACGTGAGCCCAAGTTTAAAATATTTTCTCATAGTGTTACTTTGCATGAAATTGTGATCTGCCCTAGCAGATTTTAACATTGAATGTGTGTTTCTTGAAGGAGGAATATCACAAACGTGACTTCACGGAGGTGCTGTCTCCCAATATGTACAACAGTAAACTCTGGGAAGCCTCAGGCCACTGGCAGCATTACAGCGAGAACATGTTTACCTTTGAGATTGAAAAGGACACTTTTGCCCTCAAACCCATGAATTGTCCAGGGCACTGGTGAGTATTAAAAGTGAAGCAGATCTTTTCGTGAGAGCACATAGCATACTTCATCACAATTAGCTTTTAATATTATTTTGCTTTGTGGAGTAGAATGAAAGAATCCCTTTAATCTGAAGAGTGGTGATTACTAATTTGTACAAAGTTGTTTCATTCTGGAGAATGAACTTACTTCTGAAAATATATTTGATCTTTGACAGGTATGGAATGTTAGCTGGGTAACCACTGCATTTTTTGGATGATGTTATGTGTCAATTTTGTAGGTTTTATAATGTTTGTCTTTCTAATAGTAATGCACTTCAGCTGTTCAACTTGCAGAATATTTAGTTCTTTCATACTGTTTGGGTGGATTGTAACAAGATCAATGGGGTTATAATCAATGGCTTTCTGGATTTCATTGATTCCAAGATACCATTTTTCTTCCACATTTCAACATTTCTGAAGTTGAAATGCACATTACAGTTGGTGGCATTGTAGTATTATATCATAATTTAATTAATAGGTTATTTTCTTTCTTAGTAGAACATAAAATAAAGGTACATTTAATAATCAATGCTGTCTTTGATTCTATGAAAGACGGTAATTATCATAAAGTTGGTATACAAATTCAACCTTGAAAGACAAACATATTTTACAATTGAAACTGAATAGGCATAATTGTCCACCAAAAAAAAAATCCCAACAATCGTAGTTTTTGTATTATCAACATACATGGTTTCAAGTAAATTTATGTGGAAGGTAATAAAACCGATATCTGAATACTGAAGAAAGCTCTTTGCCCTTTTAAGTGAAGATGAGAAGAAATTTAACTTTATGATGATGTCATATAAAAAATATATGTAACTTTAATTTTAGGAATACTGGTATATAAACATTCTATACCATCGCTTTTTAAATAGAAGGTAGAAGCTACGTTATTGCTTTGCATTGTAAAACACTTCTGTTAATAATTTCTTGGCTGGGTGCAGTGGCTCACGCCTGTAATCCCAGCACTCTGGGAGGCCGAGGTGGGTGGATCACCTGAGGTCAGGAGTTCAAGACCAGCCTGGCCATCATGGTGAAACCCCATCTTTAAAAAAAAAAAGTACTAATAATTTCTTAACTCATTTTTTTCAACCCATTTTTAAAAATTATGGCCTCAGACTTCAGCTATAATGAAAGTAGAGAATTTAAGTTTGTCATTTCACACCTCAGAATAAGGAAGCAAGACCACTGTGGCTTAGAGGTAATGGGATATGGGAGCCAGGAGTGCTTTCAGCAGGAGAGAAGTCTTTCATTCAATAGGGAGCATTAGTTGAGTGTTTCGTGCACTTGGAGCTAGAAGCTCGGAGGTGATAAGACACAATCCATTCCCTCATAGAGCTCATGAGCAGAGTGGGCAGGGCCATGCATGTAGGCAATCAGAAAAAGGCCAGTGCTGTAATGGCGGCATGTTCAAGGTGTTCTAGGAGCCTGAGGAGAAGCTGCCTAGCTCTGCGTAGGGAAATGTCTGGGAGGGCTTCATTCAAGAAGTATCCTTTGAAATGAATCATAAGCAGTGAATGGTGATTCACTGTGTGGTTGAGGGCAGGGAACAGCATTTCCGGAAGAAGATAATAGACAAGCTTCTTTCCCAGAGTGCTGCAGTGATGTAAATGCAAGGTTCACTAATTCATGGAAGAAATTTTTTTTAACCTGGTGAATAAGAACTAGAATAAGGAGTTTACGGATCTTGAGGCTTAATTGTAATTTCTTTATATTCAGATAATTATTTAATCTTTTCTGTGCTATGTAAAAGCTGTGTGCTACTACATCTTTTCTAGTCTAATGTTTGCCCATCGTCCACGATCTTGGAGAGAAATGCCTATTAGATTTGCTGATTTTGGAGTTCTGCATAGAAATGAACTGTCAGGGACTCTCAGCGGCTTGACCAGAGTGAGGCGCTTCCAGCAGGATGATGCTCACATCTTTTGCACAGTGGAGCAGGTAAACAATAACAGAGTGAAGCGTGGTGGTCACAAATTCAGTGTGATGCCCCGAACACATCTTGTATTCTTTCAGAGTTACTGAAACATAGATGTTTGGTCTAGTCTCTGAGATCTCATTCAGTTCTAGCCTGCTGTGATTCTCTAAATTAGGTCAATAGATTAATAATCTCTTCACATGAAATGTATTACTTTTTCTTTGGCTTCCTTCAGTGATTTTATTAACCTAAATTCCATTAAGTATAGTATTTTAAGGGATTTGGTGGAATTCTGGAATTCTGGATGTTTTGTTTTTCAATATTGCCTAGAACTTAAAATTTACTTTTTCAAGTTTTTCTGTTAATTCAAGTTAAAATTGCCATGCAAAGGGTTACTGTCAAACAATTTGACATAATTGATGTTTATAGAAAAACAGCAGAATACACATTCTTTGGTTTTTCTTATTTTGGCTTTATGTTGAATGGGTAATGTGCCTATGTTGTACCAAGGTATGAGGGTGCACATCTTACACATGTGTGTACACCGAGTCATCATGCTTATGAACTACCCAAGGGTCAGAATGTTTGTTCTTTGAAACTGCTTGTAGAATATTTGCTAGGATAGACCATATTCTGGGCCATAAAACAAGTCTCAATAAATTAAAAGGGATTTAATTTTAAAAATGTTTTAATTAACCCTAATGTTTGTTTTTTGGTTTTTTTTTTTGAGACGGAGTCTTACTCTGTCGCCAGGCTGGAGTGCAGTGGCGCAATCTCGGCTCACTGCAACCTCCGCCTGGGTTCAAGCGATTCTTCTGCCTCAGCCTCCCGAGTAGCTGGGACCACAGGCGCGCACCACCACACCTGGCTAATTTTTGCATTTTTAGTAGAGATGGGGTTTCACCATGGCCAGAATGGTCTCGATCTCTTGACCTCGTGATCCTCCTGCCTCAGCCTCCCAAAGTGCTGGGATTACAGGCATGAGCCACTGCGCCCGGCATAGCCCTAATGTTTTAACCCTAATGTTTAACCCTAAACCTAACTGACCACAATAGAATTGAAATAGAAATCAATAACACAAAATCCAAAGGAAATTTTGAAAAATTTATGTAACAAATGAAAATAAAAACACATGGATTAAAGTTTGTGGGATGCCATTTAAGTGGTATTTGGAGGGGTGTTTTGCACTGAGTGCCTTCATTAGAAAAGAAGATCAATGACTTAGCTTTTACTTAAGAGAGAAGAAGAACAAATCACACCCAATGCAGTATGAGCAAAGGAAAGAAAACAAGAAAGAACAGAGCAGAAATCATTGAAACAGAAAAAGAAAATAGAGAATAGGAATGAAACTAAAGCTGGTCCTCTGAGAAGATCAATAAAATTGATAAACCTTTAGTCAGACTGATGAGGAAAAAAGAGAAGACACAAATAAAAAATGTCAAGAATGAGACAGATGTCATTATTACAGATTCCGTAGCTATTAAAAGGATAAGGCAGTTTTCTGAATAACTTTATGCTAATACATTCGACAGCTTAGATAAAATGGATAAATCGTTTCAAGACACAAGCTATTAATCTTTACTCAAGAAGAAGTAGATAATCTGAATAGCCCTGTGTCTACTACAGAAATCAAATTGATAGTTAAAAACCTTCTCATACAGAAAACTCCAGGCCAGGATGGCTTTACTGGTGAATTCTACCAAACATTGAAGAAGAAATACCAAACTAGAGATACTCATCCAGAACATTGAAGAGGAGGAAATCCTTATCACCTCGTGAAGCCGATGAAGCAAATATTGCTCTGATAGAAAAGTAAGACAAAGAAATGAAAAGAAAGCTAGTGAACAACATCTCTCATGAACATAAAGTCAAAAAATTTAAACATTTTGGTAAGTCAAATCTAGTAATTTTTAAAAGAAGGATCATAGATCTTAATGAAATGGACTAAATCCCAGGAATGAAAAGTTAATTTAACATTAGAAAATGAATCATTGTAATTTCCCACTTTCACAAATTAAAAAAGAAAACAAACAAAAAGAAAAAAAAATATGATCTTCTTAGTAGATAGAAGAAAAAGTATTTGGCAAAATTCTACATCCATATCTCATAAAAACTCTCAAAACTAGGAAGGGAGGGAACTTTCTTAACCTGATAAAAAGACCTCTATGAAAAACGTACAGCTAACATCATACTTAATAGTGAAAGTCTCAATGCTTTGCCCTTAAGATCAGGAACTAGGTAAGGACTCTGTCATTACTTCTCTGATCATTGTACTGGAAGTTCTTTCTGATGCAGTAAGTTAAGAAAGAGAAAATGAAAAACCTCTAGATTGGAAAGAATGAACTCTTCTAAATGACATCATCTATGTAGAGATTAGATGGAATCTACAAAAAGCTAATAGAAAGAAGTAAGATGAATTTAGAAAATTGTATGGAATATCAGTATGTAAAAATCAATTGTATATGCATTTCATAACAATGAACCCTTGGAAATTGCAAATAAGAAACAATAATTATAATAGCGTCTCAAAACATATGATAATACTTTGGATAAGTATTCTCCAGAGAAATAGAGATAGTAGGATATATAGATATATGAGGAAATTTATTACAGGAATTGACTCACTTGATTTTGGAGGCCGAGAAGTCCCGTGATATGCCAGTTATAAGCTGGAGAACTAGGAATGCTGATGGTATTACTCCCTGTCTGAGGCTGAAGGCCGCAGTGGGGTGAGCAGGGGAGGGAGCTGGTGTAAGTCCCAGAGTTAGTGGGCCTGAGAACCAGGAGCTCAATGTCTGAGAACAGGAGAAAATAACGGTCCCAATTCAAAAAAAGAGATTTTGCCCTTCCTGCTTTTGACTTCTATTCCTACCCTCAACAGATTGGATGAGGTCCACCCACATTGGTGAGGGTAGAACTTCTTTACCCATTCCACTGTTTCAGAGGCTCATCTCGTCCACAAATACCCCCACAGACATTCCCAGAAATAAATGTTTTAAGGGCGGCCAGCTGTCTGGCATCTCCTAGCTCAGTCGAGTTGACACTTAAAAGTAGCCATCACAAGGCATTATCCTCAGCAAACTTATACAGAAAAGAAAACCAAATTTGTATGTTCTCACTTATAAGTGGGAGCTGAACAATGAGAACACATGGATACAGGGAGGGGAACAATACACACGGGGGCCTGTCAGAGGAAAGTGCGGGGATGGAGAGGGTCAGGATAAATAACTAACTCATGCTGGCCTTAAATACCTAGGTGATGGGTTGATAGGTGCAGCAAACCACCATGGCACACGAATACCTGTGTAACAAACCTGCACATCCTGCACATGTACCCAGGAACTTAATAATAAAACAAGGCCGGGTGTGATGGCTCACACCTATAAGCCCAGCACTTTGGGAGGCTGATGCAGGTGGGACACTTGAGGCCAAGAGTTTGAGACCAGCCTGGCCAACATGGTGAAACCCCATCTCTACTAAAAAAATACAAAAATTAGCCAAGCATGGTGGTGAGCACCTGTAGTTCCAGCTACTCGGGAGGCTGAGGCATGAGAATTGCTTGAACCCAGGAGGCAAAGGCTGGAATGAGCTGAGATTGCACCACTGCATTCCAGCCTGGGAGACAGAGCAAGATGGTCTCAAAAAACAAAACAAAAAAATAGCCATCACATTTAATGAATGAAAGACTTGATGTCTCAAATCCATCAAATTGCCTGCATTTCAGCATCTACTCTCAGGTTTAAGCCACTGTCATCTTGCTCCTAAATGACTCCTCCAGCTTCTCGTTGGGGCTCTCTTCTAATCTTACAAATTCTTTCCTCATACTGTGAAAGAACACATTGGGTCATGTTAGTTCCCTGCTTATAAACAAAACAAAAACCCTTCATTGCCTCCCTGTTGGTCTCAGGCTAAAAAGTCCATACATTCTCCTGGTTTTGGAAGCACTTAATTTTTTCTGGCGCCTGCCTGCCTCTAGCCTGCTCACCTACCACACTGCCCCTCTGCCCTTTATCCCATCATATGCAGCCCCCTGACTTAGTCTGCTTATCTTTCCGCTGAGACTTCAACTCAATGTGTCCTCTGCTCACAGAGCTCCTGAGCTACCTCCATGCAGAGTGCTTGCTTATCCCCTGCTCTAGCTGGGTCTCACTTTCTCTGGGTGGCCCCTCCTTGCTGCTCTCCTCTGCATGCTGCTGCCTTTTCACAGTACAGGTCTCTCCCCTACTCCTGCTCCATTCCCTGTACTGGCCTGGAGCCACTGCCGGTCCCCACCTGCCTACCGCTCAAATGAAGGTTCAGCTCAGGATTGGTTAACAACCAAAACAGGGTCATCAACTGCTCTCCATTAAAAACACACTTTATTTCTATCTGACATGAAGAGTTTTAGTTTTTAAAACATAAATGAATTTAATTTGGTGTTCTATTTGAATGTTTCATTTGCTTTGATTTCAGATTGAAGAAGAAATAAAGGGATGTTTGCAGTTTTTACAGTCTGTTTACTCAACATTTGGCTTCTCCTTTCAATTAAACCTGTCAACAAGGCCTGAAAACTTCCTAGGAGAGATTGAGATGTGGAATGAGGCTGAGAAGGTGAGAGGCGTACTTTGTGCTTCCTCTTCGATTTAGTCATGTGGAAAACACCTTTGCAGGAGGATGCGATAATTGGTAACAAATTTTGAAATTGGAAATCATGGGATAAATTTATAAGTTGTAGAATGTGGTTATCTCATTTTCTTTGTAAAAGTGATAATAATACCTTACATTTGTGTCACACTTTAAGTTTATATCTGGCTTGTATTGATACTCTTTCAGTACTGGTCACTAACAACTGGCCCAGGTTTTTAAAGAAATCCTCTTATTTGCTGTGCCGCTTGGATTGTGTAGTTTATTTTAAACCATTGCCTGTTGAGTCATCTTAGTCTGACTGTGGGGCCCGGGGGCTGCATGGTCTAGACGGAGATGTGCATACTTGATGCTGGAGTCCCTGTCACAGCCACGTCCTGTTGTGCCCTGCCCTGTGTCTGTCTGGAGACACCCACACTAAGACGTTACAGCTAAGCTTTCCAAAACCAAGATAAGGAGCTCATCATGTTGCTTTCTTTTTTTCTGATTAAGCACAAAGGATATAGTGTGTTTCCTGTGTTCGCTTTTATTAAAAATGAGGATGGTGACATGGCCAGACACCCAGCTCTGCCTGTTAGTTCTCTTCTTGGAATACAATAGTCCCCATTTATCTATGGGGAATAAGAATCCAAGTGGATTCCTGAAACCCTAGATGGTACCAAATAGATGGCAAACAGGACATGTTTCTGTTCATGCCTTCAACTTACAAATTTAATGCCATTTCTTGACTAAGTACTTTTCATGCACTGTGGCTGGAGCTTGCATTGTGAGGTGCAGCAGCAAAACGAGCATGATTTGCTTTTTCCTTCTTCACTAATTCACAACTTACCCAATGGATAGAAGATTTTTTTTTAAACCATAGCTCTTAGCAACTTCAGCATAGGATTTTTTTTTCCTGATTAAATGGATAACTTTCTCCTTTTCACTTAAAGGAAGCATTTTGTGGCTCCACTCTGGCATATCCAAATTGCTAGCATCACAACTCTTGTGCTTTGATGCCATGGTTAAGGAAAATAAGGGTTACTTGAACATAAGCACTGTGATGCTGCATATTTGATAAGCATGACAGCGTCTAAGTGACTAACTGCAGGGGGCGGTGCATCCAGTGTGGAGACTCTGGACAAAAGGACAAATCCCATCCCAGGTAGGATGGAGTAGGATGGTGCTCTATCCTGCTGCTCAGAGCAGTGCATGACTTAAAACAATGAGTTGTTTATTTCTGGAATTTTCCATTTAATACTTTAAGACCACAGTCGACTGGGGTAACTGAAACTGAGAAAAATGAAACCACAGATAAGGGGGATGCTATACTCATGGGAGCTGAACACACATTATAAGAAATAAGAATCAGAGAAGCACTGGACTAATAGTGTAATAATTATTTTTACATGATTAATAGAAACAGAAGCCGAGCAGAGGCTGCACAGAAGCAGTTTAGCCTTCACCTCTAAATAGGGCCTTCTCCTCCCCACTGCCCCATGCCCATCCTAAGCTCTTCTTCCACATCCACTGCATGGAGGAAGAAGGACAAATGAGATAGCCTATCTACCCTGGGAAGGATGCAGACTCAGTTTACCTGCTAGCCACATGGAAGCAGGAAGAGGAATGAGGACACAGAACTCAGCTCTGGAGCCATTTTTCTCCAGACTTTAAAGTCTGAAAGAACTTCATCTCCATGAGTAAATTATAGAATGCTCTCTAAGCATCAGGATCAAGCATGACATGGTGATGATGATGATGATGATGATGACAGTGGTGGTGGTGGTGGATGTAGTGATAACACCTACGTCCTAAGGGTATGGGGAACTACAGTGAAGTAATTCTCATGGAGTGTTAGGCATAGTGCCAGGTACATGTAAGTGCCCAGTAGATGTTAGGTGTTGGCATCATTATCATTACTCCATTCATTTGAAACTTGGTGGGGTGTAGAGAGCTGAAAAAGGGATGGACCAGGTGTGGGCCTGGCATGGGGAGGATGCACTGGAAGTCCCAGCATTTTTGCTCTTTTTTTTTTTGTTTAACTGATGGGGGTAAATAGTTTAGCAGCCAAGCCTGAGGTCAACCCAGGGGTGTAGCTGTCCCGCTAAGGGATGGGCCTGCTTCCACTTTTGGAGCACTTACCTCAAATAACTACCCCTGGCCCGGAAATCACTGAGATGAGTATTTAAATATTTTGTCTTCAGAAGTGTCTGAAATGGTTTGAAAGAGACAGACCTCGCATTAATCCAGTGCTCTCTCAGCCCTGGAAGCTCCTGCTGTGCCCTCCTATTCCATGTCCTCCAAGGCCCAGGGAGCAACAGTGACCCTTGCTTTATACTCTTCTCCAAAACTTGGCCTTTCCTTGGCTTTTTAGCTCCTTGCAGTCCCCAGAATTCTTCCCATCACTTGGTATCTGCTGTAGGAGGGCCTCATTTGTCTTGAAAACAAGTAACTGTTCCTTCTCCTCTCAGAAACAGAGTGGAACAGGGGAGTATGGCCTCCAGGCCCCTAAGTGTCTCCAAGGGGGTGGCTTTCTCTGGTCCTAAGTAGAAAAGAAGCTGCTTCTTAGGGTCAGGCCTATGCAGGACACTTGGGATCCCAGGAATTAAATCTCTTTCTCTCTCAAGATCAGATCCTGACTGAGGTTCTGGGAAAGGCTGTCAGGACTCCAGGCATCAGCTTTCTTCATGATGGCAGCTTTAGCCCTAAGACTGCCACTGCTTTGATTTCCCCATGAGGCATGTCGCTCCCAAAAGTCTGGCCTCTCATAGGCACCAGTATGTTGGGGGTGATAACGGGAGTTTAGCTGGTGTTTTGCCAGTACTTTGGCCAAGGACTTAGGATGCCCAGGTGCTTCTCAGGGAAGCTGGATTCACGGGAATACTGGAAGATTCAGGGAAATTTTTCATTAATACACAACTTGCACCCTCACCTTCAATGTGGAACATCTTCACTGCAAGCTAAGTTGAAAGCATGTAGTGGCTTAGGCTGAAGACAAAAGTGGAGACTCATGCACCCACACCCCTGTAAATTCTAACCCTCCCAGACATGTGCAGAGGTGAAGGAAAAGCAAAAAAGAAGCGGCAAGGCCTGCCGTCTTGGCCTTCTAACACCCACACTCAAGAGTGGAAGAGGGAATGAGATCAAGGCTTTCCTGCTTTCATGTGTGGAGGCCCCACCTACAAGGAGAATGGGTCTCGGAACTGTCACCAGGAGGCAGAAGCTGGTTGGTTTGTAGGGCACAGGGTTGTGTTGGGAGGAGGGCCAAAGCATTCACTACTCAATGATTACCTGGAATTCACTGGAACAAATTATAAATGATCTTTTCTTCCCAGTTGAAATTTTGATTTTTCTTGAGAGCTGGTACCACCCTAATCATCTCTGTATAGTCTCTGCTCAATAGTTTATTGAATGTAAAAGATGCTCAATGAATATGTGTTGAACTAACATAGATAATTAAGAGTTATAGTAACTTTTATGAGCTGTATGTCAAATAAAGAGGCAATATATAATTGTATCTTTTTTCTTCTTTTAAAAAAGCAACTGCAGAATAGCTTGATGGAATTTGGAGAACCATGGAAAATGAACCCAGGAGATGGAGCATTTTATGGCCCTAAAGTAAGTAGAATATGCTTCCAAAAACTAAAATGTAAAGGAAAAATAAATACTCTCTAAGCAAATATTATTTAATTTATAGATTGACATAAAAATCAAGGATGCTATTGGCAGATACCATCAGTGTGCTACAATTCAGCTGGACTTCCAACTGCCTATTAGATTCAATCTCACATATGTTAGGTAAGTGACTGAATGTGATCAATACTATAGTACTAATATTCTAATCTTTTGTCATTTGAGTATTAGCAATACAAAAATAAACATTAGTGAGTGTCTAGTATATGTGCTATAAGCTCAACATATATTTGTTTACCTGCTCATAATCCAGTTGGGAATCAACTTGAATTTTCTGGTCTGGTAGGAGGAGGAAGATAGGTAGACGTGAGAGTAGAGATAAGAACAGAGTCCCATGAAAACATGATCCAGGCTGCCGACTCTCCCGGGTCAGAGGGGAACACTTCACAAAATGCTGGCACTGGGTCTGTGTCTTAAGGATGAGATGTTTTCTTGAAAAAGCAGAGGAAAAAAGGCAATTTTATCACTGTAAACCAACAACTTCTTTAAAAAAAAAAAAGAACATGCAGTAAAATTAACTGTCTGAGTGTGTGTGTGTACAGGTGATGGTTGTGATTCCGTCATTCTCTTGTGCTGCTCCTTTGTAGTCACACACTCCTCCTCCTCCTAACCCCTGGCCACCACGAATGCGTTCCCCATCAGCATAGTTTTGCCCGTACCAGAATGTCATGTAAATGGAGTCATGCAGTATAGAACCTTCTGAGACTGGCTTCTTTCCTGTAGCACAGTGTTGTGGAGATTCATGCATGCTTTTGCATGTATCCATAGTTTGTTCTTTTTTATCACTGACCAGTGCGCCATTGTGGACCCAGTCTCATTTAAGCATATTTGGGTTGCTTCCCGTTTTTGATGATTATGAGTAGAGCTGCTGTAGGTATTAGTGGTAGGTTTTTGTGTGAATAGAAGTTTTCATTTCTTTAGGGTAACCTGGGAATGGGTCATATGATAACTGGATCCTTTAACTTTGTAGAAATTGCCAAACTGTTTTCCAGAGTAGCTGCACCATTTTGCATTCTTACCTGCAATGTGTAGAGTTCCAGATGTTCCACATCCTTGTCAGTACTTGGTATTGTCAAGTTTTGTTTGTTAAGCCATTCTAATAGGTGTGTAATAGCATTTCATTATGTTTTGATTTTGTATTTCTTTAGCGGCTAATGACGTTAACATCTTTTCATGTGCTTATTTGCTGTTCATTTATCCTCTTTCGTTAAATGTCTGCCAGAGTCTTTTTGCTCATTTTTAATTGAGTGAAAGTTTTAAGAATTCTTTATATATTCTAGATATAAGCCCTTGGAGGGATATATGATTTGCAGATATTTAACCCTGGTCTATAGCTTGCTTTTTCATTTTTTAGTTTCCCATTCATTCTGAGTTCTTAATTTCAATAAAGTTTAATTTCTCAATTCTTTTCTTTTATAGATCATGCTTTAGCATCACATCTATAAACTCTGCTTAAGCACGGGTTATGAAGATTTTCTTCTATGTTTTATATTAAAAGTTTTCTAGTTCTAAGATCTGATTTAATTGTTTGTGTAAGATGTGATGTTTAGGTCAGGATTCATTGTGTACATCCAAATGTCTAATTCTTCTCACATCAGTTGAAAAGGCCATTCTTTCACCATTGACTTGCCTTTGTATCTCGGTCAGTAATTAGTTGGACATATATATGTGGGTCTGTTTCTAGATTATCAATTCTGTTTGGTGGGACCATTGATTATCCCTTTATCAGTACTGCGCTGTCTTGAATACTGTAACTTTATAGGAAGTCTTAAAATTAGGTAATGTGGATCCTTTATTCTTTTATGTCAGAAATGCTTTGGCTGGCTATTCTAATTGTTTGGCTGTTAATAGAGTCTACAAAAAATTCTGGTGGGAATTTTTATTGGAATTCTGTTAAACCTAGAGATCAGTTTGGATAGAACTGACATCTTAACTACGTTAAGTATTTTAATATATGACCTTCCTTCAGCATAGAAGTCCTATCCTATGCCTATCTTGTTAGATGCAGAAATAGATGTAGGTGTTTGAATGACTGTAAGTGGTTTCATATTCTTAATCTTCACATCCACATGTTCATTGCCAGTATCAGGAAATACAGCAGATTTTAAAATGTTGATCCTGTAATCCTGTATCCTGAGACTTTACTGAACTTACTTTCTGGTTCTGGGAATTTTTTTTTTCTTTGGTAGAATTCTCGGGATTTTCTATGTAGACAGCCATGCCACCTGAATAATGGGGAATTTTTTAGCTTCATTATACTCTTCTTTTATTTTTTGAGATGGAGTCTCAGTCTGTCACCCAGGCGGGAGTGCAATGGCATGGTCTCGGCTCCCTACAACCTCTGCCTCCCAGGTTCAATCTCCGCCTCCGTCTCCTGAGTAGCTGGGACTACAGGTGCGTACCACCACACCTGGCTAATTTTGTTATTTTTAGTAGAGATGGGGTTTCACCATGTCGACCAGGCTGGTCTTAAACTCCTGATATCTTGATCCACCTGCCTCGACCTCCCAAAGTGCTGAGATTACAGGTGTGAGCCACTGCGCCCAGCAGCTCCATTATACTCTTCTTAGAGCCCTGTCATATATGTGCTCTCTGTTGGCCAGAACACTGTTTTGCAGTGCACGGCTGTGTATACACACGCACACCTCGTTTTATTGCGCTTCACTGTATAGCACTTGGCAGGTGTTGCATTTTTTATAAACTGAAGGTTTGTGTCAACTCTGTGTCGAGCAAGTCTGTCAGTGCCATTTTTCCAACAGCATGGGCTTACTTCATGTCTTTGTGTCACATTTAGGTAATTCTTGCAGTATTTCAAGCTTTTTCATTATTATTGTATCTGTTACGGTGATCAGTGATGTAATTGTTGTGGGGCACCGTGAACTGTGCCTATTTAAAACAGTGCACTTTACTGATAAATGTTGTGTGTTCTGACTGTTCCACTGGCCACTCCCTAATTTCTCTCCCTCTTCTCAGCCTTCCCTATTCCCTGAGACACAATAACATTGAAATTAGACTAATTAATAACCCTACAATAGCCTGTAAATATTCAAGTGTAAAGAAGTGTCATAAGCCTCTCACCTTAAAAGCTAGAAATGATTAAGCTTAGTGAGGAAGGACTGTTGAAAGCCCAGACAGGCCAGAAGCTCAGCCTCTTGCACCAGTTACCCAAGTTGTGAATGCAAAGGAAAAGCTCTTGAAGGACATTAAAAGTGCTTCTCCAGGCTGGGTGCTGTGGTTCACACCTGTAATCCCAGCACTTTGAGAGGCTGAGGGGGGTGAATCATGAGGTCAGGAGTTCAAGACCAGCCTGGCCAAGATGGTGAAACCCCATCTCTACTAAAAATTACACACAAAAAAATGAGCCGGGTGTGGTGGCAGGCACCTGTAATCCCAACTACTTGGGAAGCTGAGGCAGAGAATCGCTTGAACCCGGGAGGTGGAGGTTGCAATGAGCCGAGATCGCGCCACTGTACTCCAGCCTGGGTGACAGAGTGAGACTTAGTCTCAAGAAAAAAAAGTGCTACTCCAGTGAACACACATGATAAGGAAGTGAAATAGCCTTCTTGTTGATGTGGGGAAAGCTTCCCTGAAGCCAAAGACTAATCCAAAGCAAAGCCCTAACTTTTCAAATCTATGAAGACTGAGAGAGGTAAAGAAGCTGCAGAAGCAAAGTTTGAAACTAGCAAAGCTTGGTTCATGAAGTTAAAGGAGCCATCTCCAGGGCCAGGTACGGTGGCTCATGACGGTAGTCCCAACACTTTGGAAGGCCAAGGCAGGTGGACCACCTGCGGTCAGGAGTTTGAGACCAGCCTGGCCAACCCCATATGGTTGGTGAAACCATCTCTACTAAAAATTCAAAAATACAGCAAAAAAAAATTAGCTGGGCATGTGGTGGATGTCTGTAATCCCAGCTACGTGGGTGGCTGAGACAGGAGAATCTGGTGAGCCTGGGAGGCAGAGGTTGCAGTGAGTCAAGATCACGCCATTGTACTCCAGCCTGGGCAACAAGAGTGAAACTCCATTTCAATGAATGAATGAATGAATGAATGAATGCCATCTCCATGACATAAAATGAGAGGTGAAGCGACAAGTGCTGACGTGGAAGCTGCAGCAAGTTATCCAGAAGATCTAGCTAAGATCAGTGATGAAGATGGCTACACTAAACAATGGATTTTCAGTATACATGAAACAGCCTTCTGTTGGAAGAAGATGCCATCTAGGACTTTCGTAGCTAGAGAGGACAAGTCAGTGACTGGCTTCAGAACTTCAAAGGACAGGCTTACCCTCTTGTTAGGAGCTAATGCAGCTGGTAACTTTGAGTTGAAACCAATGCTCATTTACCATTCAGAAGATCTTAGAACCCTCAGGGATTATGCTAAATCTACCCTGCCTGTGTTCTAGAAGTAGAACCACAAAGCCTAGATGACAGCATATCTGTTTGCAGCATGGCTTACTGAATGTTTTAAGAACATTGCTGAATGAAAACTTCAATCTGGGTGGAAGATATGCTAGTTTTACAGAAAGATTTGCTGTCTTAAGCCGATTTTTGTTTTAATGTAAATGCCTGAGATACTACCTTATTGATTCTTTCATTTACATGGAGCTTTCCTGTATGTTGTTTAGAATGTTGAACAGATTTGAGTTTCTGAGTTGTAAGTCTGTCCTCATGTGGTCTATTTTATTTGCATGTGTGCCACTACACACTGAGATGATAACGCTGTACAGTTTTAAGTGGTAGCAGTCTCTGTAGGCTGTAGGCTGAAATATTTTGATGAACTGCTTAGTTTTGGGATTTTATTTAAGTTGTATAATTTATTTTCTTGCAAAGTAAAAACATAAAAAATATTTTTATGCATCCTTCTGGTTTTTAAGATTTCTAATGAGAAATATTTCGTAATTTGAGTCAATTTTCCTTTTTGTGTTACATGATTGAGATGTGTCTGACTGTGGACTAACTCAAGTTTATGTCGTGAGGGTTTGAACTTCTTGAATCTGTAAGTTATTCGTTTGCGGAAGTTAGCTAGTGTTCAGCCATTGTTTTTCCATATTTCTTTTGTACTCTATCTCCCCTCATTCTGGGACTCAGGTGACCTGAATATTAGACCTTTGGGTGTTTTTCCAGTTTCCGAGGCTGTTTATGTTTCCTTCAGTCTTCCTTTGTATATCTTTCAGATTGGATGCATTCTATTTACTCATCTTCAAGTTCACCAACTCTTTACCATCTCCATTGCTACTGAATCCATCTAATGGCTTTGTAGAAATTTCTGTGATTGTAGTTTTCAGTCCCACAGTCTCTATTGTTCATAGTTTATATTTCTTACTGAGACTTTAGTCTTTCTGGTCACTCCAGGTGTGTTCGCCCTGCTTCTTGGGGTGCAGTTATAATGGCTGCTTTCTAGCCTTTGGTAATTCCATTATTTGTGTTTTCTTGCTGTTGGACTCTTGTTTGTCTTTTTTCTCACAAATTGAGAATTTTCCTAATGATTCATATACTAAATAATTTAGGATTGTATCCTGAACATTTTGAATATTATGAGATGCTGTGTCTTGTTTAAATCCTAAGGAGACTGTCTTGTTTTGGGAGTGAATCTGCCTGGTTAGGTTCAGGTGGAAATTCCCAACCCACTTTTGTGGGCTGAGCTTCAGTGTCAGTTCAGTTATTGAAGCCTTACTGTAGTGATATTCAGATATGTTCTATGTGTTTGCCACCCAGTGGCCAAGTCCCATAGGTCATACCATGCACCAAAATGGAAAAGCTTCTGGGAGTTGACCCCTAACTTTTTGCCTGATTGGTACAGTGGAGTTAGTATGACTGAAAAGTCTAATCTCTCCCTTTTGGAGGAGCAAGGGTCAGAACTATTAGTAAGAAAGTCAAACCTTCAGGATCAGTCCTACAACAAAGTTGCTTAGGGCCGGCCATCAGAATGCAAGTGAAACTTATCATTTAAGAAAGATGCACAGGAGAGACAAATCAGCCCAGCCAGCCATCATAGGTGTTGTCTGGCAAATGGTGAGTCAGCAAGCAAAGACAGAAGGAGTGGATTGCAGACCAGGTAAGTAACCATGACGGTTGGAGCCAAGTGGCATAAAGATGAACAAAGCAGGGATACTAGGAGTGTATTTCGGAGGAAGAACTGATGTGAATTGCTCAGGCTTATGTATGAGAGGAAAGACAGAAGCATCAAAGTCATCACTGTGATTAAGGGCTTTTCCCTAAAAAAGCAAGGGTGGATGAGAGTGTGCTCTTGTCATTCATTACATTCAGCATGCAGAAAGGCATCAGATAAAAGTCAACATTCATTCCTGTGAAATGAACAGAAATTTCCTTATCATGATAAAGAGCCTTTATCAGAAAACCAGTAACATCTCAACACAGTTGGAAGAAGATGAATATGACTACTATTTGTATTGTTACTCAAAATTATTCTGGATTACAAATATATGAAAGAAAGATTAAATTATTATTCATAGATCTTAAAATGTAGAGAAATCCAACAGAATCAAATGGAGAAAATGGGAACTGATAAAAAAGGAAGGTAGAAATCAATTTGCCTTCATAATATTAGCAATAAACTGCTGGGAAATGCAATGGAAAAAAACATTTCAGAAACAACAGCAACAACAAAATAGAAAATAGGAATGAACTTAATAAATGTAATTATAGTCATGCATATCCATAAATATAGTCACGACAGGGAAGTGTTTTGAGAAATGTGTCGTTAGGCAGTTTCATTATTTGAACATCACAGAGTGTACTTACACAAACCTAGATGATACAGGCTACTACACGCTTAGGCTGTATGGGATAGTGTACTGCTCCTAGCTACAAATGTGTACAGAATGTTACTGTGCTGAATACCGTAGGTGCTTGTAACACGCATCACTAGATGATAAGACTTTTTCAGCTTCTTTATAATTCATGGCACCACTATTGGTGACCGAAATGTCATTAGGCGACACATGACTACAGATGTTATTTATAAGCATACACTATAAACTTTCTCAGAGATCATAAAAAAGTTATTTGAATGAACATTCATACCACACTTTGGAATGAGAAGAATCGACATTGTGAAGTTATTAGTTCTCAAATTTATCTGTTAATCGAATATAACCAAATCCAATGGGGTTATTGTGGGGGAATTTGGCATTCATCCCAGTGTTTCTGATAGCATAGATGTGTAAGCACAGTTTATGTCACTATTTGCTCTTCTTAAGGCTAGAAGACATGATTAAAACAAATGATAGGACAGAAATTTTGGATACCCAGCCTCTGTGAAAGGATCAGCCTGCTTCTCTTCCTTCCCCACACAAAAACAACATGATGTAACATTCGGGAATATTTCATACTGGTTTCAGTTTGTGGGATGAATTTCTTCATATACCTGCTTAGGAATGGACTCAAACTGCCCACCCCGCCCCAAAGCCTCCTATAGGGTCTAGACAGAGGTTTTGCCTGCAGTTATTCTATAATGGCTCTTGGCAGACATGGTTGGCAGTGGTGATATTCAGTTGTAACTCATTTGAAGTAGGTTTAATTAATGAGTTTCTCTGTTTGTATTTGTTTGTTTTATTAATTTGTTAAATTTATTTTATTTTGGTAGTAGCTAGCTGGCATAATTTTTAGATAAAAATTTCTCTAAAGAACTTTGTAAGTGTCACATGCTACATTTGTTGCAATAATGTGAAATTTATCTTTCAGAGAAACTTGTGCAGAGATCTTGAAGTGGCTTACAATTAAGTCATTGTTTACTTTTTTCTTTTTTTTCCCTAAGGGGAAGAGGGAATCATTAACTGTAAGGTATACCTCATGACGGTTTTAGGAAATTTGACTAGTGGACTTTGAGAACACATATCAGGAACACTTTAAAAATGAAGATTATAATGTGGGAGATAGTGGCAAGAATGGGGGTACATTTGGATCAGATGAGATTGGCTGTGAATTGACACTTTGTGAAGCTGAGAGAGGGTGTGTGGAAGTTCATTATACTGTCCTCTCTACTTCTGTATATCTTTCAGTGTTCCCTAATAAAAAGTTTTAAAAAGAAAAGAAAAAAGGTTAGCAAAGAAAGCAGTGAGAAAACAAGACGTCACAGAATAAATAAGGTTAATGGAGAGGTATCCAAAACCACTAATCTAAATCTATTCTCAAAATTAAATATAAGGCTAGAATATTGTTATTATTATTAGGAAAAGACTTAAATGTATAATTTTCATTTTTTAGTAAGGATGGGGATGATAAGAAGAGACCTGTGATCATTCATCGAGCCATTTTGGGATCAGTGGAAAGAATAATAGCCATTCTTTCAGAAAACTATGGGGGAAAATGGTAAGTGATATGGAAAAGAAAAGCTATATGCCTATAATTCTTTTTAATTTTTATTAATTTACTTTTTATTCCTTTTTAAAAATATTTCTATTCTTAAAAAATCATGTGTAAAAGATAAAAGTAGTAACAAAAGAAAGGGCATTTCCTGCCTTACAGTTAGCAAGTATCCAAACAGCGAATAAAGAGTTCTTGTTCCATCTGCCAGATGAGAAAACAAAAACTAAGGCAGAGTGGCATAAAACTGTGCCATTTACCTTTTGCGGGATTCAGAAGAATTAAAGTTACCTTTTTACCTATATTCAAGCCCTTCAGAGATCTAGTTGCTGTCTCAAAAACATGTTACTCACACTCCTAGGTACTGCCTCTCCCCTCCAGCCATCCCTCCTTCAACCCATATTGTTTGCCTTTGGGGTTCCCTACAAGCTCTGAGGAGGAGAACGGGTAAACCTGATTGATAAATGGCACAAACTCAAAGAAGAAGGCTCAGCAGCACAGCGCATTTAGGATGACAGTGGGGAAGGGAAGTGTCCTAAACGGCAGAATTTTGAGTGGTGCATCTTGTCCAAAAGCTTGGAAGGAAGAATGGCAGCGGTGTGGTTACATGGATGCATGTGCTCTAGTTACTGTTTTGGACACAAGGTCAGAGATTTAGAAGTAGTTAGATTGGAAACTAAATTACATAGATTTGGGAAACAGAAATGTGGATGATCACTCAGAATGGGCCAACAGAGGCGGTATTGCCACCAAAAGGCCCCCACTGTTGAGGAATTTTTCAATATTCCAATAGAAGAGGACCCATTCCGTGAAAATCAGCTTCTTTTTTTCCCCTGGTAGTTGGTCAGTGGCTCATGGGCAAAGTGGCCACTGGTGGATGTGCATGGGCTCAACAACATGGACCTTGCTTCGCTAAGTTCCATCTGGCTACATCTCTTCTGAGGATTCAGCTCGCCATCAGTAGTGATTAACCATGATCCCCCACTGGTACCATAACCTGGGGGAACAGCCAGTGGTCTTGTAGCAGACTGATTACGTTGGATCCCTTTCGTCACGTAAGGACCAATACCTTGTTCTCACTGAAGAGAGACCCACTATGGATTTTGCTTTGCTCTTCTTTGCTGCCATGCTTCTGCCAGCAGCACTAAATATGTACTTATGTGCTGCCAGAAACACAGTAGTGCTTCTGACAATGAAAAAGATTTTATAGCAAATAAAGCATTGCACTGACATTATGGGATTCACTACTATCACCACACACTCAGAAGCAAGTGACTTTTCTAGCAGTTATGGCACCAGCTGGCAGACAGCATCTTGTGGTGATGTGTCCTAGCCTGTGGAAATGCTGCCAACCAGCAACCACTTGTGACATTTCTACCTTCCATTCCATTTTTAGAAATTGGCTGAGGATCTGCTCATGCAGTTTAGTTCTCTTTTCAGAAACTACTGCCCCCACTGCTGCTATTGCTGGGCACAGTCCCTGCAGCTCCTACTGTAGACACCGGGCCCTGGATGCTACTGCTAGTGTCCCTGCAACCAGCTCCTCCAAAAGCTCCATGTCTCTGCATTACCCTTCCTTGCCAGAATGGATTCCATGTGGTGCCTCCTTCTCCACTCTGTCTTAAGTCCGAGTGCTCTGTTTGTATATTAGCAGAACCTAGATCACACCCATGCATACTAGCATTCATGTCCATGGAGGCTGGGGAAGCACATTTTTGAGCAGAAAACATAAGGTAGGAAGTTTCCTAAACAAATTGTCTTCCAGAAGTCCTGGGTAGCTAGAGAGTCTGTGTATATTCCTGATATTTTGTGATCATAGAAAAATACACTTAGATGTCATGGAGTTTCTAAGCTATTGAAGTTACAGATAAGCCAAAAGTATGGATATGAATATGTGTATGCTACCTAAGGATGAGTTAGCTTGTTTTTCTTTCTTTCCAGTTGGTTTTAAATCATTTACCATAGGTGAGAGATGATGGTGTCTTGCATTAGAATAGTAACAGTGAAAGTGGTTTAAAAAAAAAAGGGGGACTAGTGAAATAGGAGATGGAGAGGCAGACAGGAGGTGGTTGGGGCCAGTGCACTGAGTGTGCCTTCCTTTGTCGCAGAGACTGAGGTATTGTCCCTGTACCTCATACATCCACACTCCAGAAAGTGGTCAGGCTTGTGGGGAAATCTCCCCAGAGCCAAAAATAAAGATGGCTAAAATGTGGTTCCTTTGGGGAAGTAGGGCTGGGGATGGGGTGACGACAGAGCTCAAAAGGAGACATGTGCTTTCCATTATATACCCTGTATTTCTGTGTTTTACCATTTATCATGTATTATTTTGTGTTTGTTATTTGAAAACAAGTATATATATATATGCACATTTATAAAGTGCTGTCTGAAATCGCCCTCATGTCCTTTCGCCTTCAGATTAAGGGAAAAGGCAAACATGTCCCACATCAGACATTGCTTATACCTACTGTGCCATTTTAATTTTTTTAGAAAAATTATATTTTGAAATAATTGTAGGTTTACTTGTTGTTTTAAGAAGCTATACAGAGTCCAGGCGTGGTGACTCATGCCTGTAATCCCAGCACTTTGGAAGACTGAGGCGGGTGGATCACCTGAGGTCAGGAGTTTGAGACCGGTCCAGCCAACATGGTGAAACCCCGTCTCTATTGAAAATACAAAAATTAGGTGGGTGTGGTGGCAGTGCCTGTAATCCCAGCTACTCGGGAGGCTGAGGCAGGAGAATCACTTGAACCTGGGAGGTGAGGTTGCAGTGAGCTGAGATCGCGCCATTGCACTTCAGACTGGGTGACAGAGTGAGACTCCGCCTCAAAAAAAAAAAAAAAAAAGTTATATAGAGAGGTCCAGCACACTCTTTACCCAGTTTTCCCCAGTGGTAACACCTTGCAAAACTCGATACAGTATCACAACCAAGAGCTAGACACCGAGACTGTCCACCAACCTTGTTCAGATTTCACCAGCCTCACATGCACTTATTTGTGGGTATGTATATTTAGCTGTATAAAATTGTGTCACATGGACAGACTGTGTAAGACCACCAGTCAAGGCACAGGACAGTTCTATCACTTGTAAGGCTCCCTCCTACCCCTCTTTCCCCACACTCAAACCATCCCATTCCCGTCCTTATCTGACAACCATGGACCTGTTCTCCAGCTCCATCATTTTGTCATGTAAAGAATATTACATAAACATTTACACAGTACACAAACTTTTGAGGTCAGCTTTTTTTTCACTCAGTGGAATTCCATTGAGAGCCATCCATCATCCATGTTGAGATCAATTAGTTGGTTCCTTTTTTTTTTTTCTGTTCCAGTTTGGGGCTATTATAAATAAAGCTGCTCTGGACATTAGTGTGCAGGATTATGTGTGAACATACACTTTCATTTCTCTGGTACAAGTGTCCAGGAGTGCAATTGCTGGGTCATATGGTAAGTGCATGGTCAGCCCTTTGCAGAGATGGGAGCTGCAGTCTTTTATGAACTAGTCTCAGAAATGACGTGCCAACACTTTTGCACTAATTTATGGTCACATAGACCCACTCTGGTATAGTGAGCAGGGAGTTCTACAAGGATGTGATTCTCCCCACACTTGTGCTATCAAAATTCCAAAATTCTTCTTTTACTTTGCTGCCTTCAGACTTTAATATAATTTGGTTTTCTTCCATGCTGCTCTACTGAAACTGCCCTCTTGTGAAGTCTTTAAAAGAATCTTTGGTTATTTGAAAATCATGTAATAAGTAGCCATTGTTAGTCTTTGAAACTACATATTTTATGTATTTTTCAGGCCTTTCTGGCTATCTCCTCGTCAGGTAATGGTCATCCCTGTGGGGCCAACTTGTGAAAAATATGCACTTCAGGTAAAATCAGAGTCGTTTAAAGTACATAATAATCTTGCATATAATTCTGTATAGGTCATTGATTTGGAATGTCCATGTTTTAAAATATTTAAAATAACTGACATGTTAACAATCCATATTTTCAGTAGTTGGGAGTAACACAGGCATCATGTCTCTGTGGCTGTATCAGAACTATTTTATTTCTTAATGTTTTTGGAAAATTAGTATTGAAAACATCTCGTAATTATTCATTTCCACATGGCTCTATTAGGGAAGAATATTATCTGTTGCTGTGTCACAAGTGACCCCAAAACTTAGCAGCTTTAAACAACAAACATTTATTATCTCACAGTTCCTATGAGTCAGGGTCTGGGAGCAGCTCAGTTGGTGGATTCTGGTGCAGAGCATCTCCTGAGGCTGCAGTCACGCTGTGGGCCAGGGCTGTAGGCCTCAGGGCTCACTCACAGTTGGTGGACACAGCTCCTCATCACCTGGGCTTCTTCGTAGGTTGCCTGAATGTCCTCACATGGCGGTTGGTCTCCCAGTTAGTGATCAGCGAGAGATGGGAGCTGCAGTCTTTTATGAACTAGTCTCAGAAATGATACACCAACGCTTCTACACTTACGGTTACATGGACCTGCTCTGGTATAGTGAGCAGGGAACTCTACAAGCGTGTGAATACCAAGCGTGGGGAACATTGGGGCTATTCTTGGAGACTAGGTACCATAATGCAACAATAAAAGTGTTTCATTTTCTTCTAGGTATCCAGTGAATTTTTTGAAGAAGGATTTATGGCTGACATTGACTTAGATCATAGTTGTACACTAAATAAGAAAATACGAAATGCACAGCTGGCTCAGTACAATTTTATTTTGGGTAATTTAAGTTTGTATATATTTTTCCAAATGCTTTTTTTTTTCACTTCAGTTCCAAAAGACCAAATAAGAAATATGGTTCAACTAGTTGACTATCATGATTTGTCTATTTAATACTCACACAAAAAGAAGAGTCCATAGTGTTCCTGCCTTAGCTGTTCCTAGGTGCCCTTGTTGTTTGCTGGAAGGAGAGTTATAAAGTTTCGCCTGAATCCCCTGGGATAGTTTTCCTAGTAGTTAGTATTGCCTGCCAACAATGAAAAGAACTGTGAAAATGATCCCATCAGTAGAATTATATTCCTTATAGTTCAGCCTCATTGGCCTGAGATACTTTCCCTCACTTTTCTGGCTTATGAGGAATCTTTGGGATTAAACTAACAAAAGGAAAGATTCCGAATTTAAAATGATCCAAAGGAAAAGACTTAGCACATGACTAATTAGATGCAGAATCTAAAATGTAGGCTTTAAAAATGACTCCAGAGTTAAGAGAAACTAACATTGACGTAACTGCAGGCATAGTATTGCTATTTCCTGTAAGTTGAGAGTCTACAGAAGGCAAAATAAATATGCATAGAGTTGCTCTGTTGACAGTATTTCACTGATCATCTTTGACGTCATAGTAGGTATTGTGGTTGTTCAATGAGGCTTCTTATGGTGGCAGAAATCTCAACTTAGTTTAGACAAAGACAGCATTTAATGGAAGGGTCTTGGAGTTTCCCATGACTTGAAAGGTAGAATTAAATACCAAACCTCTAGAAGAGCAGTCAGAGCTCAGCCCTCACCAGGACTGTTTCTCCCATTTCTGGCTCCTGTCTCGCTCAGGTTCTTTATGCTTAAGTTATCTACTTTATTCCACTTATCTGCAGACTGGTTTCTTCCTTCTGTATGACAAGAAGCATGGCTGTAGATTCCTGCATCATTTCACAATATGGGAGAACAAACTTTTTACCCACATTCCAGAAAATTCTGGTGGGCTGGCATGGGTCTGGTGTCCACCCGTTGGCTCATTAGGTATGCCAGGTGGAGTGAGTGAGTCTGTAAGAGCTCCCCACTCTCATTTGCAACCTAGGACCACAAGAGCTGTTCTCTCAAGTGGACAGTAGAGAGATGGGATCGGAAGTCATTCCTTCCCTCAAGAAACTTATCAGAGGATGAACCTAATGCTCATTAGATGATATGTATTAATAATGAAGAAAACCTCGATAAAAACATATCATGTGACTGCTGACTTAATGTTTGGTAAACTGCTGATTTAAAATACATTTCTTTACCTTTCCTTTCTGCAGTGGTTGGAGAAAAGGAAAAGATAAATAATGCTGTAAACGTGCGAACAAGAGACAACAGAATTCATGGAGAGATTTTAGTAACTTCTGCCATTGATAAACTGAAGAATCTCAAGAAGTCACGGGCACTCAGTGCTGAGGAGGACTTTTGAAGTCCTTCCCTGGTATTTGCTTCTGTGTAACTTTGTTTTGACCCTTAAAAATGTATTTTTCTTAACATGTTAGTACTTCTAAGACTTTGGAGCCACTGATAGGTCCACTCTTGGACTAAGCTGAGGAAGGAGACAGTGAATGTGTAGCTGACATGTACAAAGTTTAATTCACTAATGTCCACGGGGGACAGTCAGAGGGCACAGGTGGGAAATTTTCCAGCAATCAATCCCTTGGGAAACTTAAATGGGGAAATATTATTTATTGAAATAATAAATAAAATTATTATTTCAATTATTTATAATTTATATTTTATTTATATTTATAATTATTATAAATAAAAAGGGAAACAAAACACTAGGAAATGATTATGAAATGTTAGTGCTATGATTTGTGATTTTCAAAAAGATGGACTTCAAATAAAAGTCTGCAGTTTTTTTAATATGAGAGAAAATCTTATTTTCTAATATGTCTCAGGTATTTTTATGACTGTTTTACTAAAATTCACACTGAAACTTTATTTTCAAAATTGGAATAATTACTTAATTGCGTTTCAGCCAATTACCACAAAAGCAGCAGCTACTACTAAATATTGGATTACTGACAGAGGAATTCAGTTTTGTGGAATCTGGTGTTTGCACTATAGGTTAAGAGTTGCCTTTTAAATGTTTGTAATTCATAATTGGGGTTTGTTCAGCTTTAGAAAAAATAAATTCCCAAATGAAGTCCATCAGCGTTTCCAGTGTTTCAGTTAAGCAGCTCACCTAGAGTTAAATTACTTTTTTGATGGGATGACATTCCATTGATTTGTATACTGAAATGGATTTCAGATTTAAGAGAGGAATGCGTTACTTGCTCAGAACTGAATTAAAATGGCATTATGTCAACAGAGAATTCAGCTACCAAACAAGAAGTATTGTTTATTTGTTGAGGTGCTGTGGAATTCAAAGGAAATGTCAGAAATTCTCTCTCTGTTCAATATACTGATCATTTAGTTAACTTCCTGAGGGACGTGAACAGTGAAACTGTTGGAAAAACAAAACAGTATCTATCAAGACCTATGTAGCAGTATAAGGCACAGATTATGTGATAAGTTTTTTTTTTTTTTTTGAGGCGGAGTTTCGCTCTTGTTACCCAGGCTGGAGTGCAATGGCGCGATCTCGGCTCACCGAAACCTCCGCCTCCTGGGTTCAGGCAATTCTCCTGCCTCAGCCTCCTGAGTAGCTGGGATTACAGGCACGCGCCACCATGCCCAACTAATTTTTTGAATTTTTAGTAGAGATAGGGTTTCACCATGTTGACCAGGATGGTCTCGATCTCTTGACCTCGTGATCTACCCGCCTCGGCCTCCCAAAGTGCTGGGATTACAGGCGTGAACCTCCGCACCTAGCCAAGATTTTTTTTAAGACCAAATCTTGCTCTGTCGCCAGGCTGGAGTGCAATGGCACGGTATCAGCTCACCGCAACCTCGGCCTCCCGGGTTCAAGCGATTCTCCCGCCTCAGCCTCGCGAGTAGCTGGGACCACAGGCGTGTGCCACCATGCCCGGCTATTTGTATTTTTAGTAGAGTTGGGGTTTCACTGTGTTAGCCAGGATGCTCTCGATCTCCTGACCTCGTGATCCGCCCACCTCGGCCTCCCAAAATGCTGGGATTACGGGCGTGAGCCACCGTGCCCGGCCATGATAACGATTTTTAAAGCTAACATCCAGGGCTTATGTGCAGGCACTTTTCCATGTATTAAAAAAAAAAAATATCATCAAACATACACGTGAGGGATGGCAGTCAGAAGACCCCGGAATGAATGATTCCCGCGGCAGGTGGGTGGGAGGAGAGCGCAGGTCACCAGCATGGTTCCTTCCAGGTGTTTTGTGATAGAAACCGGCGAGGGTCGCAGGGAGCTGGGGCCTGCGCGCTGCTCCCCCGATGGCCCACCTTCCCCAGGCAGGGCTGTGCTCTGGACCCTCCCCTCACTTCGCAGCGCCTCGGGCCATCCTGCTCCTCCAGGTCTGAGAGGCACTTTTTAGAAGTGCTGCGTATCTTCCACGAGCTGGCCAAAAGTGAAAACCACAGCAGGCTTGAGCGCCGGCCCCAGGGGAGCGACCCCTCGGGCCCTTGACGCCCCGAGGCCGCTTCCCCGACTGTAAATAAGTATCTTTAGGATGAAACGCCACGCGATACTGTCCTCGGAACCTTCGCACAGGACCCAGCACACAACATCCAACCACACCCGGGGCGGCCGGCCTCCCACATTTGCCCGCCTCTGCTCTGGGTGGCTTCGGGTGTGCATTTCGGTCCATGGATGACCCTTCTCAGGTCTCCTGCGGTGGAAAGATTAGTGAGCCCCTCATTCAAGTACGCATGGGAACCAAGCAACTTCCCAGGCTCGCATCCTCCTTGTGAGCCTCCCGGAGAGCGCAACCGGAAGAAAACCACCCGCTACCCGCGCGGGGAAAGCGCAAGCGCAGAAGCCAGCCGCCCGAAGACGCAGCGCGCCTGCGCCCATTGCCCACTCCCGCTCCGAGCCGCGCCCGCCCTGCCCCACCCCCCTTTCACGCGCGCGCCCGCGCCCCGCCCCGACTCGCAGGGCCTGTCCCCGGCCCGGATGTGTGCACACGCCAGCAAGATGGCCGCTGGGGTGCGCCCGCTGTGGGGCCTCAGCGCCCTGTGTCGCGTGCTGCTCTTTCTCTCGCAGTTCTGCATTCTGTCAGGCGGTGGTGAGTCAAAGGCCGGGATCAGCGCGGGGTGGAGCTGAGTGGCAGCGGGGCCCCGGGAGCTGCTAGGAGGCTGGGCCCACGGGCGGAGGCTGACGTGGGGAGGAGGCCGAGTGCCCGGCTCCGGGCGGCACGTCGCTGCATCTGGAGTCTGGCGCCCTGGCCGCCCGGCCCGAGGCCGCCCCTACGTTACGACGACACCGAGCCGCCCATCGCGGCTGCGGAGCCCTGGAACGGAGGTGGAGCGCTTGGGGGCTCGGCCGGGGAGGCGGAACTGGAGCGCGATGCCACCCTTCGGTCCCTCGTTGCCGGCAGGTCTGAACTGGTGCCCACCCGTTGACGTTTCGTCCCTAAGTTTTGTGTTTTCTGGATGCCAAGCCGTGAGGTTTTCATGAGCAGCTTATTGGCCTGGTGTAGACCCGCCGTGTTAACCACACAAAACGAGGTATTCTCGCCCCGGGATAACATGTTTGTCTAATTGTACGATCCTTAAATTTAGAGCAATCGCAGGCGCTGGCTCAGTCAATAAAGGATCCGGGCCCAACACGCACATTCACAGTAGTTCCCAGGGCAGCAGGTACTAGACATTTTCTATTCTGGTAAATGTGTGTATTTCTATCTAGTAATTTCTCTTCGTTTTTGATAAAAATTTCCCTTAGTATACAAAGTCACTTTCCATTTTTGAATATTTTATTGTATTTTAGATGATGTGAATTAAGGGCAGATACACAGCCATTTTCAGTAGATAGTCTTGGCATTTGGATACCTTTTGACGTTTCTACCTCATCTTTTTCCAGTCCCGCGCTCATTTGTCTCCTTATTTCTATTTTTCCACTTCATCCATCAAAGTAACCGTCAGTCAGTGCTTCTTTCCTTCAGCAAATTTCCTCTACTTCTAGAATTCTGTTCCCGATGTTATATAATATATCAAAGGCTCCGCCAGGACTGTGTGAAATGGAAGGATCACAGAGGGGCTGATGGAGACCTGGAATCTAGATCTGGTTTTGCTACTGGGATCTTGAACAAATTATGCCCTTCGGACCTTGGTTCTCATCTTTAAAGTGGTGGGGTTGGTCTGATGGCCTAAAGTCATTTCTGCTTTGTGATTCTAAATGTCCACCTTCCAGCCACATAGTCATGGGATCACAGAAAAGAGTATTTTGTAGAATTGTCCACTTAATACAGTGAGTAAAGTAGGACCAGTTTTAAATAAGCATTAATGTGTTTTGCTAAGTGGAGGCTTTGACTCTAATTTCATCACTTTAGAGTGACATTACTTGAGTGAATTGAAACTGGCAGAGGTATTTTACTGATTATTTGGATGTAAAAAATAGTAGTGCACTTGAATTTTAAATGCAGATTACTTTGTAGAGAAAGCACAAGAGTTCTTGACTCTTGCAGGCTTTTGAAAGCCCTTTTCAGGAATACTTGCAATTTGGATCCTCTCAGTTGGTAAAAATACATTGCACACCTGATTAGGTTGGTTGGAAATAAGTTGTAGCTGAGGCCGGGCGCGGTGGCTCACACCTGTAATCCCAGCACTTTGGGAGGCTGAGGTGGGCAGATCATCTGAGGTTGGGAGTTCGAGACCAGCCTGACTAACATGGAGAAACCCGGTCTCTACTAAAAATACAAAATTAGCTGGGTATGGTGGCGCATGCCTGTAATTCCAGCTACTCGGGAGGCTGGGGCAGGAGAATCACTTGAACCCAGGAGGCAGAGGTTGCTTTGAGATCACGCCATTGCACTCCAGCCTGGGCAACAAGAGCAAAACTCAGTCTCAAAAAAAAAAAAAAGGTTGCAGCTCACTGAAGAAGTTATTAAAATAGAGAACTATTTTGAACTTTGGTAGGATAAAGCTGTGAATATTATTAGCAAATATGGCTTATCGAAGTACCAGTGTGAAATCATGACATTTTCTAGAGTTGATGTCCTGAGGATGTCAGTGGCTTCATTTCTAAACTAGTGAATTCAGATTTTTGAAGAGAACACTGGATTGGAAATGGAGAGATTTGGGTTCTAGTTCCAGTTTTGCCACGGACTTCCTCCGTGATTCTGCACAAACCCCACTGTAAGTTTTAGTTTTTCAACTTACAAAATGATAGTTTTTTTTTTTTTAAAAAAGCTCTTAATGTATACGCAGAATTTTCTATGCATTATTTGTATGTGAGCACCCTTAGTTTTCACAGCCACTTGGGAGGCAGGAATGAAGTAATGTTTTACAAGTATGGGGCCCACCAGGTCACACAGCTGGTTATTTGCAGAACTCTGCTTTAATTGCAGGTGTCTCTGGCTCCAGTCCCATGCTTTTTCCATTCTAGTGCAGTGTCTAAGTGCTAATGATCATGTCCTTAACCTTAGAAGATTGTTCTCCTCTGAGATTTGAATCAGTATTGTAGGAGAATAAGCTTCTCTCTTACCTCTCACAGAAAGTACTGAAATCCCACCTTATGTGATGAAGTGTCCGAGCAATGGTTTGTGTAGCAGACTTCCTGCAGACTGTATAGACTGCACAACAAATTTCTCCTGTACCTATGGGAAGCCTGTCACTTTTGACTGTGCAGTGAAGCCATCTGTTACCTGTGTTGTAAGTACTATAGCTTACTTATTCCAAATACTTTCACTGTAAACCTCAAGTTAGAAGAGCAGTTCAGATGTGACTATTGAGAATAAATTCTGAATAACTTTTATATTCTTTTATGTTTGCCCTGTTGAGTAAGTAGAAATAAATTTTAAAAACCCAGTAGACCTTTTCATGTCAGCTCACTACTGTTTTAGTCATAATGATAACTGTCAGGCCAGTTGATGTCTGCTGGAAATGCGCTGGACAGAAATGTTGCTTTGTAGGATTGGAGAAGATCTTAGTCTACTGGCATATCTAAAGCAAGTCTGATTCGTTCAGATGGGTTCTGTGTTCTTAGTAGTGACAGCTAGCGTACAGAGTGGTGGCAGTGTCTTTCTGCCATAGAGGAGCTTTTGAAGGCCCAGTGTTTGTCTGTGAGAAGATCAATTCAGTAAATGCCAGAATGCCTGAGGAGCTCTCTGGAACAAAATTAAGTAGAACCCCTGTCTTGGCCAGAATGAATTCCAGATAGTCCAGAGATGTAATGTGAAAAATGAAATCCTGAAGTAGCAGAGAGAACACGAGATAGTTGTTATAATCCAAAATGGGGAATATTTTTCTAAGTATGAAATAAAGTTTAGAAGCCATAAAAGAAAGCATTGACACATTTGACTACTAAAAATCAGAGATTTCTGCATGATGTTAAAAAAAGCATAAAGGCAAAAGACATGGCAAACTAGGAAAAGGTGTTTCTGACATATGTGACAATTAATACACTAATATTGGTGATATATAAACACTTCCTAAAAACCCACGTGGAAAAGATGACAGTCTTATAGAAAACCCATGTCAGGACATGAGCAGACAGTTCACAGGAAAGGAAATACAAAACAGACTTATTTGTATTGGTACATGAAAAACGTGTATAAGTTTTTTCATAATTAAAAACAAACTAATACATTTTTAACCCTCAGATGGGCAAAAAAATTTTTTTAATTTGACTTTGAGTTTGTGAGAGTATAAGGGTCAGATACTCATATCTTATTAATGGATATAGTCAAATTGGTCAACCTCTTAAAGGCGATTTGTCATATCTATTAAACTTACAAATGCACATAATCATTGACCTAGCTAGCTGTTCTACCTCTAGAAATTTATGTTATATATATTATTATACATGGATGCAAATAAGTATGCTTATTTTTTAGCTGCATTGCTCATTAAAGCAAAAGATTCAAAAGAAGTGAAACGTCCAAGAGAGAACTGCTTAATTTATGGTACACGTGTAATAGAATAAACCCGTTGTGGCCATTAAAAAGAACTGGGAAACTCGGAGATAATGAACTGACATGTGTACGAAATTAAGTGGAAGTATTGGGGAAGGTTAAATATAGATGACATAAATGTGTCTGTGTGTAGAATAAGCTCTCCCTGGAAGTGCAGAGGGTACTTGGCCGGGGGAGGGCAGTGGTTCCAGAGGCTGGGCCAGACAAGACCTACTCACGGCTCACTCTCCTGCTGTGTCTTGAAATGTGTACCTTGTACATGGGTTACGTACTGTTTTTTTTTTGAGATAAAGTTTCGCTCTTATTACCCAGGCTAGAGTGCAGTGGTGCAATCTTGGCTCACCGCAACCTCCGCCTCCTGGGTTCAAGCGATTCTCCTGCCTCAGCCTCCCATGTAACTGGGACTACAGGCAGGCGCCACCATGCCCAGCTAATTTTTGTGTTTTTAGTAGAGACGGGGTTTCACCATGTTGACCAGGATCGTCTTGGTCTCTTGACCTTGTGATCCACCTGCCTCAGCCTTCCAGAGTGCTGGGATTATAGGCGTGAGTGTTACCTGCTTTTTAAAAGACCATTAAAAAAAACTTGTGTTTTCATTTTATTACATATCTACAATAGTAAAGCACCTACCTCCTTCTCCAACATCAAGCCTTCGGCTCTGAGGTTCTTTCCAAATGCGTTTCTTTTGTCATATTGTGTATTCGTCTTTCTATAAATCAGGATGTAATCAGTTTTGCCATCTTTGAACAGAGGTCCACTGGATGCTGTATAATTCGTGTCATTCTACAAATAAACTAATGATTGTTAATGGTGTGGGTTAGGCGAGCACATACGTTTTGGTTATAGTTACTTCCATTTGAACACTAGCATTCCAGTATCGAAAAATGCACTTTTAATATTCCTACTGTGAGATATGGAAATACAGTTAAAGAAAATTTCCAATCTGCTGTTGGAGCCACATTAGCAGGTGGTGTTCCAGGATATAAAATTAGGTGGTCTGATAGCTGAACGTGGGTTCTCTGCTGGTGGCATAAAAATGCATATGTTTCATTCATTCAAACCCATGAAAATAGTATTATATAACATAATAAAATGATTACTTATTTAAAAAAAAAAAAACTTGTATTTTAAGCACATCACTGAAAATAGGCCGATGTAAACATATTTTCTATCAGGTCAAACTGCTTGCCTGAATCAGGTGGTGCCTTATCCACATTTGAATGCTTTCCATGAAAAGTGGCTTTGCATTGACAAGAACATTAATATTACTTGCTTCATCAGCACATATGCCAAAATTGGAACAATACAGAGAGAATGAGAATGGCTCGTGCAGAAATGACATGCAAATTTGTGAAATGTTAAAAAAAAAACAAACATGAGCCAGACGTGGTGGCTCACACGTGTTAATCTCAGCACTTTGGGAGGCCAAGGGCGGCAGATCACCTGAGGTCAGGAGGTTGAGACCAGCCTGGTCGATATGGTAAAACCCCGTCTCTACTAAAAATACAAAAATTAGCTGGGCATGGCGCTGTGCCTCTGTAATCCCAGCTACTTGGGAGGCTGAGCCAGGAGAATTGCTTGAACCCGGCAGGTAGAGGTTGCAGTGAGCTGAGATTGCACCACTGCACTCCAGCCTGGACAACAGAGTGAGACTCCATCTCAAAAAAATGTGTGTGTGTGTGTGTGTGTGTCTGCTTCCAGAGATGATTTTGTGACCACATAAAAATGATTTGAAAAATATGCATTACAATGTAATGTCAGGTGGAGTAAAAAAGACTACAGAGTGCTTTCAGTATAATTCCATTTTAGCAAGTTTATAAATATACATGTAAAAGAAACGGAAAGAAGATTAAAAGTAGTTAGCTCTGAGCACCTAATAGGTTTTTGTCTGTAATCTTCAACTGTGTAACGGACAAAGAACATGTACTTTTGTAAGCAGAAAACAAAATAATGGCTTTTGAAATTGAAATGAAAAAGTATCTCTGGCCACCAGGGAACACTCACTGAGTCTCCACACGTCAGGTAGTCCTCTGAGTTGGGCCACCTCTGGATAAAGCATGCCACATGCTCTGGAGGTCGGAGCAGCTGTAACAACCCTGAGTTGCCGGGCTGTGCAAGGTAGGAGATGTTAGGAAAGGCTGGCAACTCTGAAGCAAAGCGGGGGGTTAACCACTGCAGAAGCGAAGTGGGGGGATTAACCACTGCAGAAGCAAAGTGGGGGGATTAACCACTGCAGAAGCGAAGTGGGGGGATTAACCACTGCAGAAGCAAAGTGGGGTGGGGTGGGGGTTAACCACTGCAGAAGTGAAGTGGGGGGTTAACCACTGCAGAAGCGAAGCGGGGGGGGGTTAACCACTGCAGAAGCTAAGCGCGGGGGCGGGAAGGGGGGGTTAACCACTGCAGAAGCTAAGCGGGGGGTTAACCACTGCAGAAGCGTTGGGCTGTGGTTGAGAGACCTGGATTCCACCCCTTCCTTGAAGCTTGAAGCTCAGTGACCTTCGAAAATGCATTCATCAGTTCCTTCTATCCATTCGTGATTGACTTTCTAAAATACATTTTCCTCTTTGCTGTGTTACAAAAGTACATTTTTACTGTGAAAAATTTAGCTAAGCCAAAGTGATGAAATAATTATATCACCCTGAAATAACTTTTGCTATTTTGATGTGAATTTATCTACTTTTTTTCCCCTTGGGTACATTTATTTGGGTGTGTATTTTTATGGTTATGGGGTCGTACCATATACATGTGTTTTGCATACATACCGTTTTCGGTAACTGTTTTTCTGGCACTTACTCCTAGGTCGTAAATACAAGCGTTTTAGGAATGTCGTGCCCTGTGCTGTGCAGTCTTACTGACGTCTTAACAGACCACTCCATTGCAATTGATGACTTTTGTGTGGTTTGCTACATAGGATCAAGACTTCAAATCCCAGAAGAACTTCATCATTAACATGACTTGCAGATTTTGCTGGCAGCTTCCTGAAACAGATTACGAGTGTTCCAATTCCACCAGCTGCATGACAGTGGCCTGTCCTCGGCAGCGCTATACTGCCAACTGCACCGTGCGGGACCACGTCCACTGCTTGGGTAAGTCAGCGTTCAGGGACGTTTGACAGCAAAATGCTTTTCTCTACGTTTATTGAAGGGACCTTCACCAGAAATTTGAGAGTCAAATTACTTAATTAGAAACAGGTATCAGCAGCTTTTTAGATGTGCCAACCCTCATTAATAAACTCAACATACTGAAGTAAAGCATCCAGAAAATTTCATTTCCGTTATCTTTTTAAATGTAATATTTCATAAAATAAGAAAGCTAGGGGAGGTGTAAAGCGTAATACACAGCAGTTGACTTTTACCCAAAATGACAGTGAAAACAGCACCGGTACCATTGCAGCCACCCGAGTGCTTGCCTTCGCTGGTCGCTCTGCCTCCTCTCCCCAGGTAACCACCCTTGTGAATTGTTTCTTATCACTTCACTTCCTTTTAAAACTTTTCCATAGTTTTACTGTATGTATGTAATAAAATACAGCACCATATATTCGATAATGCCTGTTTTAGGGCTGTATAAGATGACTTCAGGCTGGTGGTCTTCTGGGACTTCCTAATTTCCTCAACATTATGGCTCTACGAGTCATCCATGTGACTTCTCTTACTTCTTTTTTTTTACTTCTGTGTAGTCATCTATTGTAAGCTTATATCACAGTTTTATCTACTCTCCAATATATTCTGATTATGTGCTGTTTTTTGCTCTTGTGACTCTGTTAAAATTTCCTTGCCAGTCTCCTGATTGCACATGTGTAAGAGCTTCTTTAGTGTGTACTTTCCAGGTGTGTTACTCTTTAAACGGCTCTAAGCTTACATGAGGATGATCCATATCCTCTCCAAGAATTCTTCAAGTCTTAAAGTTGTCTGGACTTCTTTTATATTTTGGGTACTATCTGTACTGTCCCTGAAACGCTCTCCCAGATTTTGACTTTTTTGTTTTTTTAACATTATGGTATATTTTCATGAAGAGAACTTTAAAAATATAATTAGTTTAAGTTATTAGAGTTAGTCGTTTTTTGTTGTGGTTTTAAGAAATCTTTTTCTACCCCAGGTTTATAAAGAAAATTTGCTACGATGTCTTTTGAAAGTTTTAAGTTTAGCCTTTCAATTTTGGTTTAGAATCCACCTGGAATTGCTCTTGGTAGATGGTGTGAGGTGGATGCAACTTTAATGGCTCCCCCCACATGGATGGCCACTTGTCTCAACTCTTCCCTGCTGACCTGTGTGTAGCCTCTGTCATGCTTGAAGTGATTGTATGTTTCTGGTTCTAGACTTTCTCATCTTTTCCTACTGGATAATTTCTATGCCTCGGGACCACACTGTCTCACATACTTGTAACTTGCCCTAAGTCTTGATATCTGGCTGAGCATTTCACGTTCTTTAAGCTGTAATCCTAACTTAGCTGGTTTCAGTATTACATGTATACTTGGAGATGGTAAGGGTTTTGCACTATTCACTTAAACATATATTATTGTAAAGAGAGTTTACTTTTCAAATTTTAAATGTCGAGGCCATTTATTACAATTAAGTCTTTCTGAGAGTATTTTTATACCATGTATTTTTCTTTTCTTTTTTTAAGGTAACCGTACTTTTCCCAAGATGCTGTATTGCAATTGGACTGGAGGCTATAAGTGGTCTACGGCTCTGGCTCTGAGGTGAGCTTTGTTATCAGTGAGTTTAAACGGCTGTTAGGAGTTCTTTGGGATCAGTGGAATCTTCCAGACATTGAGCTCAGGCCACTTCATTCTTCACTCAGATGCTACCGTGTGTGTTAGACTCTAGGAAACAGCTGAAGAGTGTAAGGTGATGAGCCCAGTCCTCGTGGAGTTTCCCGGCAGATGTGTTAGCTTTTCTCCCAAGGTGCCTGCACAGTGGCTTTCCCATTCTGAATGTACCACGAATTAGTAAAATGCTGTGGACTATCTAAAATAGGCAGTTTTATGATGTGTATCTTAAGTTTAACTTATAATAATAATAATACATGCTGAATACTGAAAACTGGAAAAATGAAAATAAAAATATTAAAAATTGCCTATAGTTTCATCATCTGGAGAGAATTATAGGCTTATATTTCTTACATAGAAATGTGCTGTTTGTTAAACTTTTCAACAGCACTTTAAGAAATCGTAGTAATTCTTCCCAGCAAAGGGAAGGGCAGGTACAACCCTGGTTAACGGATTGGCTAGTGAAAAGGTTATGCTGCCCGCAGCTGAAGTTTTGAGTTGGTGTCTGAGACCCTGAGACCTGCAGCATTACAGGCACAGGGCAGGATTTCGCAGCCTCATCACTGCTGGCATTCTGGGCTGGGTGATCTTTCTTCTTGGTGTTGTCCTGTGCATAGCAGGATGTTTCCAGCATCGCTGGCCTTGACCTACTACTTGTCAGTTGCAAACCTTCCATCCCCTGCAGTTGAGACAGTCAGTATGTCTCCAGATGTTGCCAGGTGTCCTCTAGGGGACAGAGTCACCCCTTGCTGAGAACCACTGCATTAGAATTTGGGCTGGGGAAAGAAGGATCTTGGCAGGAAAGGTGTAACTGGAAAGCAAAAGAGGAGGCCAGGCGAGAAGATGAGACTAACAAAAATAAGATAGGCCAGGCACGATGGCTCACACCTGCAATCCCAGCACTTTGGGAGGCCAAGGTGGGCGGATTGCTTGGGGTTAGGGGTTCGAGACCAGCCTGGCCAACATGTTGCAACCCCCATCTCTACCAAAAAATACAAAAGCTGGCCATTGTGGTGCATGTATGACACTTGGTCCCAGGAGGAGGAGGTTGCAGTGAGCTGGCACTGCACCACTGCGCTCCAGCCTCGGAGACAGAGATTCTGTCTCAAAAAAAAAAAAGGTTGGTAACCATGGCTGACAATGGTTCAAGTTAAAGGTAACAACTGGCTTTAAAAAAACAACAAAAAAATTTTTTTTGAAACTTGGAATAATTTTAATTTACAGAAAAGTTGAAAAGATAATAGAGTTCCTGTATATCCCTAACCTGGGTTTCCCTATATTGTTAACCTACAGCTAAAATTTGTAGGTTAGTTTTAGCTAAAAATGGTATGTTTACTTCTGACATTTAAACAGTCTTCCTGCCCGTAATTACTTGCTGGTGTCAATTTGTGAAATAGTCACTTGTGTTCCAGTTAAGGGCTGTGATCATTGGAAGCCCTCTCTCAAATCTGCCGTAACGCGGTGATGGAAGCCTAACTGGCCGCAGTTGGGGTGGAGGTGGTCTCATGGAATCCTGTCTGTTTGCCGTCACAGCATCACCCTTGGTGGGTTTGGAGCAGACCGTTTCTACCTGGGCCAGTGGCGAGAAGGCCTCGGCAAGCTCTTCAGCTTCGGTGGCCTGGGAATATGGACGCTGATAGACGTCCTGCTCATTGGGGTTGGCTACGTTGGACCAGCAGATGGCTCTTTGTACATTTAGGTGTGGTATGGGCTTCAGAAAGGAGCAGTGCCTAGAAAAAGCCCTTTGTCTATAGCAATTGACGTGGTGTGAGTGATACATTTCTGTTTTTAATGTACAGCATCTGTACTTTGTTTGCCTTGATAAAGGTAAAATAAAGAAATGAAACACTGAACTATGCTAATCCGAAATTTGTTTTTATTTGCCTGAAATATTTTTTTTCTGTGAAAAAATTGAAACTCACTTAAGCCGGGAGAATGACTTCTATAGTAGTTGGAAATCGATTTAATTCCATAACTTTAGTTTTGTATTGCTCAAGTCAAACTGTATCACTTGTATCTCCAGCCCAAATGTAATCTGCCTTGAAAATCTTTCAGCTGTGATTGCAGGAAGTGGGATGTGTTTTTATTGTCAGCTAATTGAAGTTATTTGGCTTAACTCCAGTCATCTGTAAGTTTTTCAGTGTAATATGTATGTAGTCTGGTCTATATATACGAACCTTTGAATTGAATGTTTATGTCTAGTTATGGTTTAAATTTTCCTAGTAGTGTATAAAAGATAGAGTGCTGAAAAATGAATAAAATTGCAAGTTAAGAAATATTGTGGGCCTGTTTTCTATATTAAATATAATCTTGAATAATCATTATAACTTACCTTTATTGTTAAGAATAACATTTTGATTTTTCAGGCCATTACTCCATTCAGAGTCATAATTGGCTGGTTTATTGACACAGTGGAAATATATAAATGTTTTTAAGTGTAGATCTGTTATAGATCCTTTATTGGGGGAAAAAAACCCAGTTATTAATTTAAAAAGATTTTTACTCAAGGTTGCTTTTAAAACATTTAAAAAGTTTTAGCATTTTTTCTTTTAAATGTGAGTATCTGAGTTACTGCTTTTTAAACACTTGTACATATTAGCCAGAAGACTGTTAACCATATCATATAGCATCTCTAAAATATCTTTTGGTAATATCTTCATATCTTATTCATCAGATGGTTTGTTAATTTCAGTTTACCTGAAAGGTGAATTGAATCATGTCGGTGATCACTTGTTCAAGCGCAGCCTTTTCTTGGTTGAGTGACAGTTCCATCTCTGGTCACTATGTGGCGCATCCCCACTGCGTTTGCTTCCCCATTCTGTTTCCAGAAAGAGACAATCTTAATGTTTTTTTTACGAGGAACTTGTCACAGTGCATGAGCAGTGCTTCAGGATGGGAGTGACCTGGTTTATGTGGACGTTTCTTTCTGAGAGGCAAACACATGCTTTTTTGTATCCATGAGACTGTTGATGGAACAGATGCGTTTCTTTAGAAGAGGGTCTGTTCTGCAAGAAGCTGCCCCTTTGCCCACCGTAATAAAAATGTCTCCCGAGTCTCCTTATTTAGCTCTATGTAGAAGAGAATCTAATTCTTCCCTGTTGAGCAGCCATGCAAGGTGGAGCCCGGGACCCACTGGGAAGTTAGGAGGAAGTGTGCGTGGCCATTGGTGGAAATAGATAACAGCATCCTTCATCAACCATCTTTGCAGCTCTGGGGCCTGAGTTGGATAATGAAGCTGCAGTGTTTGAAAGGTGAAAGCTCAAAGATTTAGAATCCGTGAACGGAGACATGAATGAACTTGTCCCTAAATCCTAAAAAAGTTTGCATGAGGGCATAGTCCTTGGAACCTAAAGGATGTAAGCCAGTCCAGAATGCTTCATATCAAGGAATTGATAGAGCTGATGGCCTGGGACAGAACTAGCAGGAAATGTGAAGGGATTTTCAAATATAGTACAAACAGATTTATGAGCGTGAACTCATATACATCCCCTAAAAGTAACTGCAGAATAAAAGTGTGCTTTCCGGCTGGGCGCGGTGGCTCACGCCTGTAATCCCAGCACTTGGGGAGGCCGAGGCGGGTGGATCATGAGGTCAACAGATCGAGACCATCCTGGTCAACATGGTGAAACCCCGTCTCTACTAAAAATACAAAAATTAGCTGGGCATGGTGGCGCGTGCCTGTAATCCCAGCTACTCAGGAGGCTGAGGCAGGAGAATTGCCTGAACCCAGGAGGCGGAGGTTGCGGTGAGCCGAGATCGTGCCATTGCACTCCAGCCTGGGTAACAAGAGCAAAACTCTGTCTCAAAAAAAGAAAAAAACAAAAAAACTATACTTTCAAAGGGCACCAACGAGTGGGTGCGAGCTCTTGTAGCAAATCCCATGGGCCTCTGCTGGCAGCAAAATGCCATGTTGGAGTCTGACCTTCAGGTTCTAGTCCTCTGTTGTCTTAGATTGTTGGGGCTGCTATAACAATACCATAGACGGGGTGGCTTAACAACAGGACTTTATTCCTTAGAGTTTAGAGGCTGGAAAGTCCAAGACGAAGGTGCTGGTGTGGTGTCTGTGAAGGCCCTCTTCCTCATAGCCTCTTGCATGCTCACATGGTAGAGGCAAGGAAGATCGCTCTGGGGCCTCATAAGGGCACTAATCTGAATCTTGAGAGCGCCACCCTCATGACCTAATCACCTCTCAAAGGTCCCACCTGATACCATCACCATGGTGGTGAGGATTTTTACATGTGAGTCTGGGGTGGAAAGGATACACATAGCCCATCATATGCGAGCTGTGGGCGCTGAGCAGGAGATATGATTAGATGGACATTCTGTTCACACAGGTTGGGAACCGTATCAGGCAACCATCCTCTGTTGATGGTTCTCTGGATACTCAGAATTTATCACTGCAGCATGCCATCTGTCACGATTTCCCCTTAAGAATCTACCTTGCTCTGTCAGCACTCTTCCATTTACCCGAGCAATGCCTCCTGGGAAGGTGCTGGGTTATTTCTGTCACCTTCATTGTCCCTAGAACAGTGCCTTGCACACAGAGGCTTTCATTTACTTGCTGAGTTAATGCCACAGGTGTCTTGAAGGTTTTGAAAGGACTGTGTATAATTCCAGGGATTGGCAGTGGAGGAGGCTGCCGGGAGATAATATACAGAAATTGGCTTCAAGTAAATATTTGTAACACCATGTTGATCTGGTTTCTGCAAATTGCTGAGGAACAACTCTGGTTTATGGTGCTTAGAAAAAGATTTTTTTAAAGATCTTATGCTTCAAGATTTTAAAGTGTAAAAATATCTTCTCTATGCCACACAAGTTTGTTTCTCTGTACTTTTTTTTTAATGCCTTATGCCAGACTCGCATTTATTTTGGGCACATCGTCAGCTGGGGAATATGCAAATGATTTTAATTCATCTATAAGCAATGAGTGGAAAATGAGCTGTACCTGATGCAGCTTCTCAAATACAACATTGAAAAAGCCTAAAAATGAAGGCACTACATAAGCAGAATATGCATAAAAAGCGGGGGGAAAACCAGGACAAATGAAGGCAGATTCCTCCACTCCTGCTCTAAAGCTTCCCCTCTATTCTGTACTTAAGTATGAAGTGTCACATGAATATTAGAGGGCATAGACATTTTTTTAACTTACATTACATGCCTTTTTTTCATGGTAAGAACACAAAATCTACTCTTAGCAAATTTGTAATGTGGTAACTCTAGTCCTTATGCTATACATTAGACCAACTGGTTAATTTTGTAACCTAGCAAATTGGATCAAAATTCTTGGATGTAAAGGATTGAAATTGTCTTCCATAAACACAACATCTTTTTTGTTTTTTAGGAGACAGACTTTTGCTCTTGTTGCCCAGGCTGGAGTGCAATGGCATGATCTTGGCTCACCACAACCTCGGACTCCTCGGTTCAAGCAATTCTTCTGCCTCAGCCTCCCTAGTAGCTGGGATTACAGGCTTGCGCTACCATGTGCAGCTAATTTTGTATTTTCAGTAGAGACCACGTTTCTCCGTGTTGGTCAGGCTGATATCAAACTCCCAACCTCAGGTTATCCCCCTGCCTCGGCCTCCCAAAGTGCTCATATTACAGGTGTGAGCCACCAAGTCTGGCCAACACAACATTTTTATGCAAAATAAGGAAGCTTTGATGGAGACACTGACATAATTTACTGAGGCTCCACGGAAGCAGGGCTCTGGTTCTCTGCTGTAGCTCAGCTTTGAGAGCCCTGCCTGCCATACAGCAGGAGCACCGTGACTCGGAGTTCGATAAATGAGGAAGGAGGAGTTGCTTGGAGTAAGTTAATCACCTAAAAGTATTGCTGAGAATTTTTTTTTTTTTTTGAGACGGAGTTTCGCTCTTGTTACCCAGGCTGGAGTGCAATGGCGCGATCTCGGCTCACTGCAACCTCCGCCTCCTGGGTTCAGGCAATTCTCCTGCCTCAGCCTCCCGAGTAGCTGGGATTACAGGCACGCGCCACTATGCCCAGCTAATTTTTTGTATTTTTAGTAGAGACGGGGTTTCACCATGTTGACCAGGATGGTCTCGATTTCTTGACCTCATGATCCACCCGCCTCGGCCTCCCAAAGTGCTGGGATTACAGGCTTGAGCCACCGCGCCCCGCCCTGCTAAGAATTTTTAAAGTGGTAAGGTGCAGCTGGATTACAGCGTCTCCCTTCTCAAATACGTAAAATGATAAACACAGTATAGTAAAAGCCAGCCCCTCCTTCCTGCTCCAAACCAGCAAACAAAGGAAAACTCCACAGCAGACAAGCAAAAGGATACAGCCAAATGCCAAAAATGTCAAAAAATGGTGAGTACGGGGAGAAAAAAGTATTGCTCAGGTGTGTAAGATTAATCCCACGAATGGCCCTGGTGGCTCTGCAAAACTCAGGAAGTCTCACTGTCGGCCAGGCGTGGTGGCTCACGCCTGCAATCCCAGCACTTTGGGAGGCCGAGGTGGGCAGGTCACCTGAGGTCAGGAGTTTTGAGACCAGCCTGGCCAACATGGCAAAACCCCGTCTGTACTAAAAATACAAAAAAATTAGCCGGGCATGGTGGCACACACCTGTAATCCCAGCTACTTGGGAGGCTGAGGCAGGAGAATTGCTTGAACCTGGGAGGCGGAGGCTGCAGTGAGCTGAGATCACGCCACTGCACTCCAGCCTGGGCAACAAGCGAAACTCCATCTCAAAAAATAAAGGGGTCTTACTGGTGAGAAAAACAGGTTAATTGGGACAAGAGAGGTATCTGCATCTTCCTCCCGTTACTGCTGGGGGAAGTGAAAAGGCTGCTGGGAAGAGACCAGTGAGAGAGGGCTCATGAACAACTGGGAGGGACTCTGGTGGGTTCAGGGGTTCCCTGCTGAACCAGACAAGGATCCAAAGCGTGAGGTGACCCCCACCGGTCATTACATCATTCCCAGGGAAGGAAACTTTCGTTCAGGAAAAATCTTAGCTGAGAAACCAGAGACCACATCTTCTAGCAAAGATAAAGTCTCAGCTGAGCTCTTTCCTGCCTCACCCCTAGCTATCAGGCTACAGAATGTTGACTAGAACACAAAATACAACTTTCAAAACGCTCAACGAGAAAACCAAGGGAATTTGTTCACATATAATCATGAAGTTGTCCTTTTACACAAGAACAAAATGAAGTGACGCACGATCCACTGGAATGACTATAATAAAAGGCATTTTCAACCAGCCTGGCAGCCTGGGCAACATAGCCAGACCCCGTCTCTTAAAAAAAAAAAATAGCCAGGTGTGTG